ATGCTAGCGTTAGCCATACTAGCCTGTATACATGCTTATTGCAGAGCTAGCATTAGCTATATTTACCTTGTTTACACTTAGCAGTCCTATGTGTTAATCTGTGTATGTTACACTTGCATGTATGAGATCATTAAGTGCCTTGTAACTTCTTCTTTTTTATAGTTTCACTCCGTTTTAATGTCAGTGGCCTGCAAATAAGTCAATAAAGGAGCATGGCTGCTCATTCCCTGGCTCTCAAAAGAGTTTGTCTGGCTGTTTAATCTATGTTGTTGTAGCAAACACCGTGGTGGTGGCTTAAAGCCCACCTCCGCTACGCGCCGTTCGTTAGATGAGCCTGGTTATATTTAATAAAAGAAGGAATTCAAAACACCGGAATAAAGGTTATAACAATAATCTGATTTTACTGGTAAAAAACAAAACACTTATACAAGTTTACAGAGTACTCTGGACTTCCAGTTCTACTGCCGTGCGATACAGGTATCAGGACCAGCCAGTCAGAAACAGGAAGCATTTTACATGAATAAACAACAGTATTCATATACATATTTTGGGGCGGAGATGTGTTGACTCTTCCTTCCCATTTTACTCCGAAGCGAATCAAAGAGTCCATGGGGAGGAGCTGTGTGAGCTGCTCACTCCCCCAGGTGTTTTTACTGGTTGGATTCACTTCTGGTCGGGTCCAATACAGCGAATCAGAGTTCTGGGAAAAAAGTATGTTTCTTCTGAGCAGAGCGTGAGATTCGGAAGTACACAAGGACAGAGTCAATCTTTATCTCTGCACCTGTATTCACTCCTTTACTTTCCCAAGGAATATTTCACACAAACTATTCTTTCCCAGACAACCAAACATTGTACACAGATATATTGATGCCCAGAAAGGACCTTGAAAAGAATATGTGTGTGTGCTGGTGGGAGGAGATCTATGTGTGTGTAGCAAGATATCTGGGTCAGTGAGTGCAAGTGAGGATTACTTAAAACAGTTCAAACAATACATGTTCACTAAAATACAGTTCAAAATAATACATGTTTACTTCAATACAGTTTAGAACCATATCTGTTTACTTTAATCCCTCTTTTGATCTCACCTCACGAGATCAACATATACACAGCATTTGAAACATAACCACTGTCATTCTTTTCTACTGTGTCTGTCCCAACATTTATATAAATCCATCAGAAGCTGGGATTTAGAGCACTTTAAACCTTTAGGAAGAGTCCACCATAACAACTTCTTATGACAGTGGAGGGAATAAAAATAAACAAATCCCTTAAACAATGGGCAAAAAATATACAAATCCCTTAAATTATGGGATAATAAAGCAAAGTCCAAAGTTCCTCAAAAAATGGATTGTTAAAACAAAGTTCCTCAAAAAATGGATTGTTAAAACAAAGTTCCTCAAAAAATGGATTATTAAAACAAAGTTCCTCAAAAAATGGATTATTAAAACAAAGTTCCACACCGGCTATATCAACCTGTTTCAGCGGGAAGTGGAGTCACCTGTGCCGTCTTGGTTTGCCGTGTCTTTGTCCCCCCAGCCCGCTGACGGCGGCTTCTGGGCTGCCTGCTAGAGAGATGTCTTCTGGATTCTCCTCCTCCGGCCCGCTGATGGCAGCTTCCGGGTCGATGCTGGAGAGATGTCTTCCCGATCCTCCTCCTCCGGTCCGCTGATGGCGCCTCCTGGGTCGACTGCTGTAGAGATGTCCTCCTGATCCTCCTCCTCCGGTCCGCTGATGACGCCTTCTGGGTCGACTGCTGCAGAGATGTCTTCCCGATCCTCCTCCTCCGGTCCGCTGATGACGCCTTCTGGGTCGACTTCCTTGACGAGGGCCAGATCTGTCCTGATGTCGTCTAGGGTCCTCACAGGTGTTTTCCCGACCGCACACTGGCTCCAGTGGTACCAGTTGTCTCCCTTTCCTTCTAGGCGGACGGCATGGGAAGTCCTTTGGGTCACTCGGTAGGGGCCGGAAAACCTGGGGTTGAGCCACTTAGGCCTGATGACTTTCAGCCAGACGAACTCTGCAGTCTTGGCCTCATGTTTCTCGGGTCCCCCTTTGGCATCAGCAACCTGTGTGGAGAAGTCTCATACCAAGCCCTTAAGTTGCTGGAAATATGGTTTTGAACTCATCTCTTCTACTTCTTTAGTGTTTATTGGCGGTTGGCAAACCAACTTGTAGATGCATTACCGCCACCAACTGGACTGGAGTGTGGACAAGAGACTATGCAGAAAACAATAAACAAAAGAAATAAAACAAAACCAAACAAAAAAAAAACAATAAAAAAAAAACAAAAAAAACTCTAGATTATTTTAAATGTATCAATTTCTCTTAAAAACGTAATAATCTCACATACATATTGCCTAATGTTTTTTCCTAACAGCCCTGATAGCGACAAGTCATGGAATTTTGCTTTCTTCAGTGTCTGGAAAAGCACATCTCTCTGAGTACTATATTTCTTGCAAAGCAGTAAAGAGCCTGCTTCCTGTGCTTCTTTAAGAGTGTCATCTGTTACGGCGGGCAGCAAGTCAGTGGACTTCATGACGAGCATTTGGAACTGGGGTACATACCCTGCCTTTGCTTTGGCCGCCCTATCTGCTGCATTGTTACCCCAGGCCAAGTAGTTGTCTGCCGTACTGTGGCCTTTTTGTTTAAGATACGCGCTGTACCGGCTGCATGTCTTGTGCACGGAGGTTCTCTGTTCTCAACTCTGTCCAGTGTGATACTTATGTACATCAGTATTGACCTACATCCCCCCTTTTTCTGAAATAGAATGCCGTTAACGGTGTTCTCATTTTCAGAAATATCAAGCCTTATATATCAGTTATTAAATATCAGTTATATATTATATATTATTATTACTTATATATCAGTCATTAAATATCAGCCTTCTTTCGGTCCCCCAGTTTGATCCCACTAACGATCAATCTCTCTGTCTGCCCCCACTGTTCTCGTAGACTCCCTGGTACTGGGACGCCTAGTTGTTGTTCTTCTCGTTCAAATTCTCCTTCCATGATTGACTTCGTCTCTATTATCTGACAAGGTTGATATGTGTTCGCTTGTATTTATTTAATATACTGGACAATATGTTGGTGGCTTAAAGCCCACCTCCGCTACGCGCCGTTCGTTAGATGAGCCTGGTTATATTTAATAAAAGAAGGAATTCAAAACACCGGAATAAAGGTTATAACAATAATCTGATTTTACTGGTAAAAAACAAAACACTTATACAAGTTTACAGAGTACTCTGGACTTCCAGTTCTACTGCCGTGCGATACAGGTATCGGGACCAGCCAGTCAGAAACAGGAAGCATTTTACATGAATAAACAACAGTATTCATATACATATTTTGGGGCGGAGATGTGTTAACTCTTCCTTCCCATTTTACTCCGAAGCGAATCAGAGAGTCCGTGGGGAGGAGCTGTGTGAGCTGCTCACTCCCCCAGGTGTTTTTACTGGTTGGATTCACTTCTGGTCGGGTCCAATACAGCGAATCAGAGTTCTGGGAAAAAAGTATGTTTCTTCTGAGCAGAGCGTGAGATTCGGAAGTACACAAGGACAGAGTCAATCTTTATCTCTGCACCTGTATTCACTCCTTTACTTTCCCAAGGAATATTTCACACAAACTATTCTTTCCCAGACAACCAAACATTGTACACAGATATATTGATGCCCAGAAAGGACCTTGAAAAGAATATGTGTGTGTGCTGGTGGGAGGAGGTGTATGTGTGTGTAGCAAGATATCTGGGTCAGTGAGTGTAAGTGAGGATTACTTAAAACAGTTCAAACAATACATGTTCACTAAAATACAGTTCAAAATAATACATGTTTACTTCAATACAGTTTAGAACCATATCTGTTTACTTTAATGTTCACACTGAGACAGTACAACACAGAGAGAGAACAGTACACCTAGTGTGTAAGTACATACAAGCAGGTCACACAGTATGATCACAAATAGATAAACTCTGTTAAAAATCTGTTTTTATTAAAAAGTACAGGCTGCATGTGTGTTCTCAGCCTTGGAGAAACTTGATATGTTTTGGTATGTGTCTGAACCACTCTTTAGTGGTTCATTAATAAAACAGATATTTCAACGTGTGCCTACTTTGTTCATGTACTGTTGAGGTTAATTTCAGTAGTTGTGTGCTATAATGTATTTACAAAGTGTGAAGAGGAGGCAACTTTAGAATAGGGAACCTGTTTAAGTCAAACTACTAGCTTATTGGTTATGAACAAGATTTCACTTTAAAATAGGGAACATATTCTTAGATAGAAATACCTAATTAGAGTCAAACTACTAGCTTATTGGTTATGAACAAGACTTCACTTTGAAATAGGGAACATGTTCTTAGATATAAATACCTAATTTTAAGTTATTTAGACTTAATTAACACTTATAGTTTCATGTCTTGTTACATAAGAATAGATCATATTTGTTAAGTGTTATTATGGGAGAATTACTATTCTTGTGGTACTACTGCCTTATTAGGCCCATATTGAGCAGCGCATATTAAGACCAAAACTCATGTACAACAACTTCCTTACTTGCAATAAATAAGAGGGTTATTGAGGAAAAACTCTCAACTAATGGCTTATTACTTGTAGAATATGGTCATGTAGAATAAGGCATTAATAAGTGTTTTATAATGACTACTAAAGAGCCAATATACTGCTAATATGCATGTTAATTAACAACTAGTTGATGGTTAATTTGTGTACCTTAATATAAAGTGTTACCAGATGTGTAAAACAGCAGTAAGGCGAGCAGGAAATCAGCTGGGATGTTCAGAGAACATTCTAGGAATTTCGGAATGTTCTGGTAAATGACATCGTGTGAGGTTTTTACAGGCTCAACGACATGATATTGATTTAAGTTGTCAAGGTATTTGCGATTTTATTTCTATATTTATGTTTCTTATATTTCCATACATTAGATTTACGTTACCGTTTATAAATGTCTGACCAGCGGTTGCTCTGAATGGCGTCACGACTACAACGGACACCTGGATCTCTGATTGGTTCAGAGCTCTCATCCGGGTACTGCGCTAGAACGAGCCCATCAGCTAAAGGTACCAATATGGCGGAGGTAAGAGGGAAAACAGGGGAGAAGCAATCGATCTTAAGTCGATATTTTTAAATGTTGTGTACTGTATTTTTCATTTCTATGTTATCGATTGAAGAAACAATAGTTTTTGCCTTCTTTATAGCGTGTTTCGTGTCATAATGCTCATTTTAATTCCTCTTAAATATGCTTGAATGTCTCGACTGATCCTTCACTACAAGGCCGCTGCGCCTCGCTCAGCTGCTTTGGTGTAGCGGTTGTGTAAATTGATACGTAAAATGTACGTTAGCTTGTTGGTTAAAGGAAATAAACGATTATTTCGTGTTTGTTATGAATGGAAATACAGTTTTTCTATTTGGGCAAAATAAGCAGCACATGTATAGTAAAGACCTACCAACTATATCGATTGCCGGACCGAGCAAACGAAATTAGTGTTTACATTTTTCGATGCATAACGTTACCAGTAAGCTTTGGGGTTAGCTTGCTGGCTAGCTAACTGTTTCAGGAGCCGACACTGCGTAAATCATCATGTCCTTCTAAATAGGTTTCTCTATTTTGAACTCGGCTGTCTCGTACGAAACGAATTGTTTCAATTTCAGAGTAAAAAGGCATATTTTGCTCACAATTGTCTAGCGTTCAACCGCGGCTAACATTTCATTAGCCACCTATTTCAGGTAACGCTAGCGGTAAATGCCGCTCTTCTGACCTATTATTAACTCTCTTCGGTTGTCCTAATACAGTCTATAAAATGCAATGTTCATAATCTGCCTAATGGAATATCTCAGTCTAATATGTGGCATAATAGTTGATTCGTGTCTCAACTCATTTTTTATTCTGGTTTTATTAATTTGCAGGCTTCCCTAGGGAGTTCAAGTCCAGGTAAGAACACCTCTGCCATAACAGTAACAGTATACACATGTACTTAAGTTAATGTATCTATATTCTAAGGACACCACTTTGCATCCCATTGACAAAATAAGAAAATGGCTTTCACATTGATATGATGCTTTGCTAACTGTAATACAGTAACTATGTGAATGTGTATGTTTAAGTATGCATCTTTAGTATAAAACCAGAGTATATGTGGGAAGCATTCATGATTTTTTTTTCTTTCCCTCTCACTCAGTTGGCTCTTTATCGTCAGAGGACCATGACTTTGATCCAACAGCAGAAATGTTAGTTCATGAGTATGATGACGAGAGGACTCTGGAGGAGGAAGAGTCTCAGGAGGGAGGGAGGAATTTCAGCTCAGAGATTGCAGATCTTGAAAAGGTAAACTAATAATTCACCAAATGTATTAACACAGGATTTACCTATGTAAATGTAACAGATTCTGTGATTTTTAAATAGTAAAATGTGTGTGCCAATATAAAAATGTATGTATGATGACACTGTTGTTACTGAAAAAAAGGGAAGACATTGTAACAAAATTACATTTGGTTGTGGGACCTTAATGATGTTAAGAAAAAGTTGTATAATAAGTAGCTTCAGATTTAGCAAACACAAATATAGATCTAGTATATAGTGGAAACCAGAAGCTTTTTCATTTGGAATGTTTTAGTTTTGATCACATAGGGAACATGCAATAATGCTTTACTTAATTTATAGTTATAAATACAATAAAGTATTAAGTACTAACTTGTCCTTTCTTGTTTCCACCAGGAGGGGAACATGCCTTTGGAGGAACTGTTGGCTATCTATCGCTATGAGGCCTCTGCGGGCTCCAGTATAGACAGCTCGTCTGGAGACCTCACTGATGAGCTGCCTGACATGACTCTAGATAAGGTACATAATTGCTGTAGTTAATTCATTGTTTTTGAAAAATAATTAGATGTAATATGTATTCATCTTCAATTTATTTTTTAATATCCTGTTGTTTACCCTTGGTCTGCCCCAGTATACAATGGATATGATTATTTTTTTCTAGGAGGAAATAGCTAAAGACCTGCTGTCCGGGGACTATGAGGAGGAGACCCAGTCCTCAGCTGACGATTTGACCCCCTCGGTCACCTCCCATGAGGCGACCGATTTCTTCCCAAGAACACTCAGATGTAAGTGGCATGTGCTGAACATTTATTTCTTGTCTGTAGCTTTTCAGGATTACAGTTTTTCATCCAATGCCATGCAATAACTAAAAAAGACATTCAAACAACTACTATCTATTTAATGAAAAATACATAATTTATTAATTCAGACCATTTAGTTCATTACTCCCCTTATCTTTTTGCCATTTAAATGTCAGAATAGAGTTTCACTCCAGTTTCCTGAAGCCCACAGTGACGTCATAGGTTCTCTTGTATCAGATCCTATTTCAATACTTAGAGATTCTCTGTTAACTTTAACATGAGACAAAGAAAGGCACCAAATCTTCACAATTCAGAAGCTGAACTAATTACAGTGGTATTTTATTTGAAAAATTACAAACATTAATCAATTATTAAAATAGTTGCTGCTTAAGTGATGTTAGTTGACTTATTGTTAATTACAGTTATGTAGTTACTCAAATACAATAACATATTTAAATACATTTGTAATTTTAAATACCCTTTTCTTTTAAATAAAAAATAGCTGCACACACAAAAGGTAAAGAGCCATCTCTCACGTTTGGGCAAATAATCCATATATATGTTAAATGTACAATTGATACCTTGAAATATTCACAATTAAAGTGCTGAAACCCCAGCAGTTTAGCATTTTTGGTTAAGCTGCTTGAGTGCGATAAATATTTTTTTATAAAAATGCAATTAATTTTCCGTCTATTTGCCTAATAGACTAATTGTTTCAGCACTGGGACATATTTGTAAATGGTACAATAGTATGTGTATATATATTTACATATAATATATACTTTGAGCTTACCAAGCAATTAAGATGAAGTTGGTTAAGTTAGATTACATTTTCTTTAAATTATTATTATTATAGTACCAAAATGGACTCAACGTTTGGGTGGTAAATCATAAATCCTTGGCACACATGTGGTGCCATTTCAATTCATAAATGTCACGGTATTAATATGTTGTTTATTATTCCAACAGCCAATGCAATCTTTGATGGTGATAAAGAGTCAGAGTGTGATGAAGATGGCCCAAGTCCAGAGGACTCCAGAAAGGTAAATACAACTTTCTAGAACACATTAAGAGAGGAATACTGAAAGATTCATTAATGCTTAAGTTGAATAAACAATGGTTTGCTAAACATGCTCTGTATTGTCTTTTGTTGTATTTTTATCATAGGAAATAATGGTGGGAGCCCAGTTCCAAGCAGAGGTTCCTTCTGGCCTCTGTCACTACAAAGATGGAGAGAAAGGTGACTGCTGCTCTTCTGTTTTCAGCCATGTGTCCCTGCACAATGTTTCTCTACATACAAAAAGACAACATGATATGAACACGGTAACTAATCTTTCTGTAATGTACTTTGATACGCAGTTTATGAGGATGAAGACGAGTTATTGTGGAGGCCAGGTATATTGGCAGAAAACAAGGTTAGGACTTTCCTGTCAGACGTTTTGTCACGGACGTCAGATGAAAAGATGGGATGTGACAAACCATGGATGCATGTTCGAGATAATGAGCAGGTCAGTCATGTCTTTTATTTATCAATCCTTTCATGTTGTAACACAATGATGAGCATGGCAGTAGGAATGTTTGTGACTTCAGTGTTAGACTTTCATTCACAATCTACTGTAAGAATTCTGCTGTTCAAAAATATTTGTTTTTTAAGGTACACCTTATTTATGTTTGCAATATAATATAGTCTTGACCTCTCCGCTTTTTCCACATAGGCTTTGTTTGAGCTTGTCAAGGTCAACTACAACACTCGCGAAGCACTAGAGAGACACTGCAGCCGTGTAAAGTCCTCAAAAGGTAAGCACAGGGAAGGATGTCCCAATGCATGCAAGAAGAATATTTCTGACACGTGAAAAGAAGAATTTATGTTAAACTGCCACTATTGGCGAATCTTGTTTCCCAACGTTTTCATTATCTGTAAAGTAGCACCTGCAGACTTGGCTATTCTTTGCTCACCTTTTTCATATCCAACACATTTGCACTGGTTCTAAAGTAAAAGGAAGCATTAACTGACTGATTATCGTGCAATGAGCTACACTGGCAATACATTTGATGCAGCAATTAAAACCCATCTTGCAGAGGAACACACAGTATTGACAAATCCATATAGTTGTGCATGTCTGTACCCGTTGTGCTGTTTATTTAGAACCGTAAACCCAAATGGGAGAGTACTTATTATGTGTCCCTAATTTACTTAAGGAGAAGCAAAAGTTCCAGGACCACCTTTTGTGTCCAACAACAATCCAATACCTCGACATTGTTGCTCTAAAAAGAAAATGATGGGTTTCACAGATGTATTTTGGATTACAAGGCTGTTGTCTGTCATTAAATTGAACGATGTACAGGGGAAGGTACTTTTCATTGCAATGATTTTTTATTAGTATCATGTGTTTTACATTTTTTGTCAGGATGTTTTGAATAACTAAGGATTGGTTTAACAAATGTCTGGTTTCATTTCAGAAAAATCACCTCCATGGTCAGAAGAGGAATGCAAAAACTTTGAGCACGCACTACAGATGTATGACAAGAACTTTCACCTTATACAGAAACACAAAGTGAGTATTATTTCATGTTATTAGGTGATTTCCCTTCTACAAGCGCGAAAAGGTACATGTACATAGCTGGGAAAGTTTCTCATGTCTGTCTTTCCCCCCTCAGGTCGCAACACGAACCGTAGCTGAATGTGTGGCGTTTTACTACATGTGGAAGAAGTCGGAGCGCTTTGACTTCTTTGTGCAGCAGAATCGGTTTGGGAAGAAAAAGTACAGCAGCTATCCCGGCGTCACGTAAGTTTCATAATGAGTACATTGGTGTTTCATTACTTTATGTTTATGCTCACGTGTGATACAATGAGCTCTGAAGGAACGTACAGTTTACATGACCCTCTGTTTCCAGAGACCTGATGGACCGGCTGGTGGACGAGGCGGAGGGTCTGGCCGTGGACAGTTCCTCCTCGGTGTGTTCAGGAGCCGGAGGAGGAAGGATGGAGAGTACCACCGACCAGCAGCTCAGCCTCCTCAACTCCATCACCGCCAGCGACCTCACAGGTCAGTCCTGGCACTTAGTGAAGCATACTACACCCTTGGATTTTTCTCCTAGTATACTGTAATATTACATTTTTATGGCATATTCTATAAGATAAGATAAGGGGTACTTTATTGATCCCAAATTGGGGGAATGTTTGCATTGCAACAGCATAAAGAACAACACAACAAAACAAGGCATTGCCCATAAGTAGACATTTAAAGAGTAGAAATAAGCAATAATAGAATTTAAACATCTCAAAATTGAATTAAAGCACCATTAAAAGTAGAAAATATACAGTAGACCGAGAAGATGATACAAATTCTATAAACTCTGACAATAAAACACTATTGAAGGGCTTTAGACACTATATATAAAGCAGGAAAATACAATATAAAGCAGGAAAATGATGCTATGACATTCTTCATACTATACTTTTAAACAAAAAGTTGTATGACTGGAGTCGCTTACTGCTTCCAGTTGTTGATGGTAACTGAGTGTCCTGTCTCTTTGCAGCGTTGAGCAACACTGTAGCCACAGTGTGTAACCCAGCGGAGGTGGGCTGCATGGACTCCTACAGCTTCCCTCCACTGGAGAGTCTCCATCGAGGGTCCCTCAACCACGGCGAATCCCTCGGGTTCCCTTCCAACGGTGCAGACCCAGACTGCCTCAACATGCTGGACGCCGGCTTCTACCACTCGGACTGCGAGCGGCCCTCCAAGAGACTCAAGATGGCCCTGCCTGACTCCTTTATCAATGACGTGTCTGTGGGTAACCTTGGGGTGGACTTCGAGACGCGGCGGACAACGACGCACCACCATCGAATCACCGGCGCGAAAATGGCAGTGTCCGTCACAGACTTTGGGAGCTTGGCTGGGAGCGGCGAGCCCAACGGCTTTCTGGGAGCACACGCACGGCACCACACACAGCACAGCGCAGCACTTCAGTCAGAGTGATCTTCATCCCTTGTTCTTCCCTTTTGAAACCCCTTATCCCGCTTGTACATAAGACTGACCTCACTGGGGGATCTGATTTGTTTAAATTTTATTATATATATCTATATATCTATATATATATGTATATGAATATACTTTTTGTTTTCATTTTTTGTGTAATATGACATCAGTGATGTCTTATCATATAGAACTAAAATCTTGATTTCTCTCAAGAGTTTATATAGCCATTTATTTTATTCTGTTTTTGCGGTCTTGAGATGTAACGTCCATGTACAGTGGGGCCCAGAGGCTGCAGTAGGAGAGCTGTGATTCTTCCTTCCTCACATCTTCAGAGCTACAGTATGTTATCCTGCCATTCTTTACAGCTGCCAAAAACGGCTCAGTATTTAGTTGCTTGTCTTTGCTGTTTGAAGTGGTACTTTTTTGTGTGTGTTTGGTTTACAGGTACATTTAGGTAACCAGGCTGGTGCAAATGGTTGTATTTGCCCCCATATAAACCTGGCTAGATATTGTATGAAGAGCAACACTAGCATGGAGATTGGCTTGAGAGCAGGACGGTGGTGGCATCAGCTGCTCAGGCCTCCCAGAATGTTTGTTTGTTTTTCTTTTCTCCTGTGGAAGCCTGTCTGCAGTTGGTCTGCTTGTTTACTTTGAAACTGTTTAAAGTGGCCAAACTGGAACATGTGCATGTTTGCAAAAGTTTTAAACAATATGTATATTTCCATTTAGTGAAACCTAATCCTTAGACCTTTATTCATTTCCAATTCCAAGCTGATGGAGAATTCCTGTGCAGAGGAACATATTGGCACCTTGTTCTGCAGTTGGATATCAAGTTATTTTTGTAATCCTGCTTCTTCGTAGGAGTGTAACATTCAATCAATTAAACCATGATTGCAATGCAAAGATATTAGTTAATATCATTTAAAGGTGGATATCATCAGGCACTGTAATGTGTGTATTTATTACCATATACTTTAACTTTTTTGTGAGATTTTGTTAATCCTTTAATTCATGCTAGCTATTCTTAGGCAACTGTACATGTTTTAGTTGCAGAAAAACATGTTAGATCTGCTCCTAAATCAAGTAATGCCATTTCAGACCACTGAGCAAGCGTGGGTAAACCTGCTAGCAGTATTATCTTTTTATTTTATTTAAAGCCACTCAGTTTTGTATTTAACCTCTGCCTAACCTGTACGGCCTAGAGAATGCCTTGTATAATCTAGCCGACAGTTTCTTGGAGTTTAGTAGCAGAAATGGAGCTGTTGTCTCTTGACTGAAGTCCATAATTGTGAATTGTAAAATGTTTAGCAGGTCATTGTCGGTTGATTGGATGCAGTAGTAGTGTTTACTTAATTTATCTATGCATTGTGCTATGAATAATTAGTTTATTTCAGGGGTACATCATGTTTGTCATGTCCATAGATCTTGTTCTCCACCATAATGTGTGTACAGACAGAATTCATGCTTCTAAACCATTACGTTTGATTAATTAATTTTTAAGCCCAGCATCAGAGGAGATATTCACATCTGTGTTTCATGTAAATAATTAGCAAATAGCCTTTAAAAGTCTATGAACTGACCTCTTAAACTTGTGAATCTATGTTGATACAAAGGTTTTAATTTGATTCCTTGTCAAAAGGCAATAATTTGTAGATATGTACAGATATTATGGGTTTTGCATTTTACCAGTTGACTTGGTGTATGAATTAGTTTCTCCTTGGAGAGTCAGGACCCCAGGACTCAGCTGAACCCACGCATGCCAGCTGTGTCTGTTCTCAAGTGTACCACTGAAACGGCTTTACCTGGACACGTATTGATATTATTCAATGTTTCAATTTTGCCTTCAAAACATTCAGCCATGTGTAAAAGGCGGTCATCTCTCTTTACATCAAATTTTCCTCCTTTTTTTTCAACATGTCGTCTATGTTTGTCTTTTTGGTAAAGGGATGGTCGCTGCTCAAAGTATGTGGAGAGCTAGTTTCTCTTTTAATGCAATGTGCATAATGCAGTAGGTCCTCCAAGCTCTTCTAGCTTTAGCAGTGCAGTGATATTTATTTCACCTGTGGTTTGTACAAAGACTCAGAAAAACTGTCAGAATGTAAAGGCCATTACGTAGTAGAAGTAGGTTTTTCAACACCCTGTGAACTCTCAAATGTGATATTTTATTGATATCTCTGGCTTGAGACTTGTGTGTGCAAGAAAGCACTTAACACATTTATTTTATATTTTGTATTGTGTTTTGAAGATTTAAAAAGGAAAACAATTATAGCAGTTGTGGTTTTCAAACAGAAAACTGAGTCCTTAGATAAAAACCAAAACACCTTTATGAATAAAAACCTACAAAACATAAAAATGTATATCCAGAAATATAGACAATCAAAAATTCACTAAGAGAAATGTTCGAGAAGCTATCTTTATTGTTTATAAGAATTGTACATAAACATTGAGTTTTTTTTTTTTTTTTTGTTAAACATTATTTTGTATTTTCTGTTGTACTTTAATACCTTGTGTACAGATCCAGAAATAAAGCTCTGGAAAAAGTTAAAAGATGATTGCTTGTTCTTTAATATTCCAAGGAGGTTTCACCAATAAGGAAGGATTGTTTCTGTAAAGAGTTCCAAACTGATATTGACAGTATGATATAGTTTTCTGAGCAACAGTACATTGGATGTAAGCCGTGTGAATTGGTTGAAAGAAGATTCAAAATCACCCAAAAAGTGATCGTCTCCAGTCTCAGGACCAAACTGCATATTCTGTTGAAGCTAGTTAGTGCCTTGAGCGGAGATAATCAATATAAAAATGTACGTTAATTAGTTTCTCAATTAGTAGTTGATGGTCTTCTGACAGGAATGGGAATAGTAAGAAAGTCCTCAGCCAGGGTCACTTCCACACCAGTGTCCTGTAGAGCGTCTTCCGCCTGTCTCTTGAGCTCTGAGACTTCGTCCTCGTCCCCTTCCTTCTGCAGAGAGCAGGGTTTGTACCTCTGGCTGAAGTGGTACAGCACCAGCCTCTGCACACAGCACGCCCGAGCCACTGCTGCTGCCATCCCAGGAGTACTGTGTCCGTGGTCCACGGCCTTCTCTCGGTGCTCGTCCCCGAGCGTGGCCTCGTGGACCAGAATGTCCGCTCCCTTGCACAACAGCAGTGCTCCGTCACCAAGCACTGAGCTGCAGTCCCCGAAAATGCAAACTTTCCTCCCAGGAATGTTTCCTTCCAGCACCTCTTGAGGCAGAATGACACGCCCGTTCTCCATGGTTACAGCCTCACCAGCTTTCAGACGCCCGTAATGAGGCCCTGGCTTCACACCTGCGGCACACAAAAAATGAACAATCACAATAATCCATAATGCAAAATGTAACAAAAGAAGTCACAGAAATGCAAAGGGAAAGAAGTCAGTATGAAAACACTCATATTTGGAAAGGTAGCTGTGGATTATCATGCAAAGGTGTAAACAAAATAGTTTCCAAGCACGGATAAAGACACTGAGCTCACTAACCTAGTTCCTTTAGGAGTTCCGTCTTCAGTCTTCCCGGTCGATCATGCTCCTGAATGCAAAAACCAAAGGAGGGGATGCGGTGGAACAACCTGAAGGCCTTGACCACAAACTTCTTGTCTTCAAAGAGGAAGTACGAGTCAGTGGAGACATCCAGCGAGATGGTCCTGCCCGGCTGCTCCTGTGGGTGCAGAGGACAGCTCTCCGCTGTCATCTAAAGACACAACACAAAACTTCAAAGATAAGACATGATTTGTATTGGTGAGGAAATGTTCTCTTATATATTTAAATAAATACATGGAAACCAAGGTAAAATAAGGCTAATTTAATTAGTTCACATTGGGACAAAGGTTTTAAATTATACATATTAACAATGCAAACTAATGGCGCATTTCCACTACAGGGCCTCGCTCGGCCTCGCTCGGTATGGCTAGGCCTCGTTAGGCCTTGTTAGGACTGGCTCACTTTATGCTGCGTTTCCATTACAGTTTAGGAACTGGGGTAGTATCTATAGTAACGCAGTGTAGGCGGAGCCGTGACGTAATCTTCAATGAGAACCACAGAAAAACAACATCAGCCGTTAGCTGTTAGCCCTCAGAGCTCACAGCTCCTCATATCTGTTCAGAAACTAGACAAAAGTTAAACAAGTACAAACCACAGACTGTCTGTGTCATGGCGAATACAGTCGCTGGTTTATTTATGTCTGTATAGGCCGTTGTGAGTGTGGACGGTCGGAGCATATACTGCGTTAGCTTCGCCGATCGCCATTTAGAAAACACGCATTTAAGTAAGGAGATTTGTGTTTGGTAGATTATTTCTTTGCTGTAACAATGCTTCTTGGCAATATATCTTATACCGTTGGAAAGCCTGTTTTCTTACCTTTCAAATGGTGCCACATTTGTGAGGAACAAGCATTTGTGGGATGAGCAGCAGAGCTTAGTAGGTGGGTTGCACCCATGAAAAATGTGACAAATCTCCTCTGCCAATGTCAAACAGCAGCTACTCTCCGGTCTCGTACGGCTGCCAGGAGCCTCATTATGTTCAGAGCACTGGAACCTCAACATGTGGAGGAACATTATGTTCAGAGCACTGGAACCTCAACATGTGGAGGAACATTATGTTCAGAGCACTGGAACCTCAACATGTGGAGAAACATTATGTTCAGAGCACTGGAACCTCAACATGTGGAGGAACATTATATTCAGAGCACTGGAACCTCAACATGTGGAGGAACATTATGTTCAGAGCACTGGAACCTCAACATGTGGAGGAACATTATGTTCAGAGCACTGGAACCTCAACATGTGGAGAAACATTATGTTCAGAGCACTGGAACCTCAACATGTGGAGGAACATTATATTCAGAGCACTGGAACCTCAACATGTGGAGGAACATTATATTCAGAGCACTGGAACCTCAACATGTGGAGGAACATTATGTTCAGAGCACTGGAACCTCAACATGTGGAGGAACATTATGTTCAGAGCACTGGAACCTCAACATGTGGAGGAACATTATGTTCAGAGCACTGGAACCTCAACATGTGGAGGAACATTATATTCAGAGCACTGGAACCTCAACATGTGGAGGAACATTATGTTCAGAGCACTGGAACCTCAACATGTGGAGGAACATTATGTTCAGAGCACTGGAACCTCAACATGTGGAGGAACATTATATTCAGAGCACTGGAACCTCAACATGTGGAGGAACATTATGTTCAGAGCACTGGAACCTCAACATGTGGAGGAACATTATGTTCAGAGCACTGGAACCCTCAACATGTGGAGGAACATTATGTTCAGAGCACTGGAACCTCAACATGTGGAGAAACATTATGTTCAGAGCACTGGAACCTCAACATGTGGAGGAACATTATATTCAGAGCACTGGAACCTCAACATGTGGAGGAACATTATATTCAGAGCACTGGAACCTCAACATGTGGAGGAACATTATATTCAGAGCACTGGAACCTCAACATGTGGAGGAACATTATGTTCAGAGCACTGGAACCTCAACATGTGGAGGAACATTATGTGCAGAGCACTGGAACCTCAACATGTGGAGGAACATTATGTTCAGAGCACTGGAACCTCAACATGTGGAGGAACATTATGTTCAGAGCACTGGAACCTCAACATGTGGAGGAACATTATGTGCAGAGCACTGGAACCTCAACATGTGGAGGAACATTATGTTCAGAGCACTAGAACCTCAACATGTGGAGGAACATTATGTTCAGAGCACTGGAACCTCAACATGTGAAGGAACATTATGTTCAGAGCACTGGAACCTCAACATGTGGAGGAACATTATATTCAGAGCACTGGAACCTCAACATGTGGAGGAACATTATGTTCAGCGCACTGGAACCTCAACATGTGGAGGAACATTATGTGCAGAGCACTGGAACCTCAACATGTGGAGGAACATTATGTGCAGAGCACTGGAACCTCAACATGTGGAGGAACATTATGTTCAGAGCACTGGAACCTCAACATGTGGAGGAACATTATGTTCAGAGCACTGGAACCTCAACATGTGAAGGAACATTATGTTCAGAGCACTGGAACCTCAACATGTGGAGGAACATTATATTCAGAGCACTGGAACCTCAACATGTGGAGGAACATTATGTTCAGCGCACTGGAACCTCAACATGTGGAGGAACATTATGTTCAGAGCACTGGAACCTCAACATGTGGAGGAACATTATGTTCAGAGCACTGGAACCTCAACATGTGGAGGAACATTATGTTCAGAGCACTGGAACCTCAACATGTGGAGGAACATTATGTTCAGAGCACTGGAACCTCAACATGTGGAGGAACATTGTATTCAGAGCACTGGAACCTCAACATGTGGAGGAACATTATGTTCAGAGCACTGGAACCTCAACATGTGGAGGAACATTATATTCAGAGAACTGGAACCTCAACATGTGGAGGAACATTATGTTCAGAGCACTGGAACCTCAACATGTGGAGAAACATTATATTCAGAGCACTGGAACCTCAACATGTGGAGGAACATTATATTCAGAGCACTGGAACCTCAACATGTGGAGGAACATTATATTCAGAGCACTGGAACCTCAACATGTGGAGGAACATTATGTTCAGAGCACTGGAACCTCAACATGTGGAGGAACATTATGTTCAGAGCATTGGAACCTCAACATGTGGAGGAACATTATATTCAGAGCACTGGAACCTCAACATGTGGAGGAACATTATGTTCAGAGCACTGGAACCTCAACATGTGGAGGAACATTATATTCAGAGCACTGGAACCTCAACATGTGGAGGAACATTATGTTCAGAGCACTGGAACCTCAACATGTGGAGGAACATTATGTTCAGAGCACTGGAACCTCAACATGTGGAGGAACATTATGTGCAGAGCACTGGAACCTCAACATGTGGAGGAACATTATATTCAGAGCACTGGAACCTCAACATGTGGAGGAACATTATATTCAGAGCACTGGAACCTCAACATGTGGAGGAACATTATATTCAGAGCACCGGAACCTCAACATGTGGAGGAACATTATATTCAGAGAACTGGAACCTCAACATGTGGAGGAACATTATATTCAGAGCACTGGAACCTCAACATGTGGAGGAACATTATATTCAGAGCACTGGAACCTCAACATGTGGAGGAACATTATGTTCAGAGCACTGGAACCTCAACATGTGGAGGAACATTATGTTCAGAGCACTGGAACCTCAACATGTGGAGGAACATTATGTGCAGAGCACTGGAACCTCAACATGTGGAGGAACATTATATTCAGAGCACTGGAACCTCAACATGTGGAGGAACATTATATTCAGAGCACTGGAACCTCAACATGTGGAGGAACATTATATTCAGAGCACCGGAACCTCAACATGTGGAGGAACATTATATTCAGAGAACTGGAACCTCAACATGTGGAGGAACATTATATTCAGAGCACTGGAACCTCAACATGTGGAGGAACATTATATTCAGAGCACTGGAACCTCAACATGTGGAGGAACATTATTTTTAGCGATGAGTCCAGATTCTGCCTACGGCACTTGGACTGTAGGGTCAGTGTGGAGAAGACGTGGAGAACGTGGATCAGCTTGGGCTGCTGTCAGAGTGACCAACACAACCACGTTGGCTGACTTGGGACAAATGCTGGTTGAAGAATGGGATGCCACAGCAGTGTGTGACCAGCATAAGGAGGAGAGGCTGTTGTGGCTGTGTGTGGTTCTTCCACATGCTACTGAGGCTGCTTGTTAAATGAATACATTGTTAATAAATCAATTGTTGCCAATATGTCTTGTTTCATCAGACTTGAATCATCCAATCTACCAAACAAGAGTCAACAGAAAAAAGTTGTTTGACATTCTTCACCGGCGCACCCCACATACTCAGCTCGGCTATTCTTCCCACAAATGCATGTTCCTCACAAATGTGGCACCATTTGAAAGGTAAGAAAACAGGCTTTCCAACTGTATAAGATTTACTTCCAAAAAGCATTGATACAACAAAGAAATAATCTACCAAACACAAATGTCCTTACTTTTTGTGTTAAGTATAAATATATAGTGTATATTGAAAGTGAGTTTTATTCTGTGTTAATAGAACTATTAAAAAGGTATGATTTATTATCAGTCAGAATAAAACAAAAATCAGCCACATACCTCCAGGCTGAGCTGTCCCTCCTCTGGACTCTGCTCAGCTGTGGGCTCCAGCTCATGTACTACAGAAAAATAAATGATTTATATAGGAAAAACACCTTTATATAGGAAAACATATATATATATTAAAAAAAAAATTCTTTCTTAAGTACAACAAATAAGGAACGAAGGCTGAAAAAGTGTTACAGTATTCCTAGAAAGACAAATAAACGTTAACATGAAAGCCAAAGCATAGATGTGGCTTGCCACTGATAACTCACAATCTGGTGACAACCACTTTAATTACTAAGGTAGTGGTTCAAATCTTAATGTGCAGAATTAAGAATGGAAGTACTGTACTATCTTGTCCTTAGAGGTGGGGTAGGTAATTCACTTCAGAAACACTTTTTGTTATATTCCATGGAATGCTCTTAACATCCCGATAGTAATGAATACATGAAATGCTTTGACAATAAATACATAAAAAATGTCATCTGTGGAAGCCGTAGTACTGTAAAAAGCACGACCAATCATTTTAGCCGGCCTGGCTAAAATAACTGGATGGCCTACCTGCCTGTCAACCTTCCATCTGTGCACAAACTTATCACAAACTTATTGGTCATGTGCACGTTCGTGTGTGTTGGAGGAGGGGCTCTGTAAGGAAGTCTGAAGGAAGAGGCAGATTTTTTCCGGTTGTGTACTTTCAAATTCTAGCGCACTTGAGCTGGTTTCTCCATTCTTACCTACCCTACCTTTAAGGTAGCACTGACAATCACAAATGCATAGAAAGTGCAACACATAGTTTACTTTGTTTGTGGTGAAACTCAGATAGCCAGTGTTTTTAGACTGCAGTAGGGCGGCCACATTAGAGGTCAGGTTGTTATTTTTCGACATACCTGCATAAGGGAAAAGCAGCTGTGATCCTGTGAGTCCCAGTGTCACCCTTAAAAAGTGCCGGAGGCCCCGGGGTCCGTAGATGTCCACACAGTTCAGGTTTTGCTGCTCGGGGTTGGTGTTGAGGCTCACAGTGCAAAGGAGACCAGGCAGACCGAACAGGTGGTCCCCGTGCAGGTGAGAGATGAAAACCTTGGTGATCCGACCTGGGTAGAAACACGTGACAGCATGACTTACAACAGGTACCTTAAGTGGAGAGAGCAGCGGACAGTTTGTCTAAAAAAGTTAGATTGGAAGTAGTACCATTGGATTCAAATGCAGCAAAAAAAGAAGGCTAAAATGACAGAATTGCACATCTTACTATACTATGAAAAATCTAAGGATTTAAAAGGTTTTCTTTGAAAATATAAATAATATGTATAGTTTATCCATCTCCCTAATCCTTAGAAACTTTGTAGTGAAAAAAGTCAGTGTACAAAATGACTTCTTAAGTAAATGTTTGTAAAAGTAGTAGTGATGAAAGTGTACAAGTATTACAGCTGCCAATGTTGTTGATTGTTATTTAATTTAAAAAATGGATATCCTTCATTGTATCCGATATGTTTTCTGAACTGTTGTGAAGTTAAGTCTTAGCTTTTTTGTAATGGAAAAGTATCAAGTTTCCATGACCATATGAGTTTAGTTTGTTTACCTTTTTCATGTGCTTGAACAAGTTTCAAGTACAGACGAGAATAATTCTAAAATATGTTGACTTAATGCAATTGTCCTCCACATTTAGGAAGGAAGTATGAACTTTCAGAGAAGCTACAACTTGCGGGTGGTAGGTAAGTGTTACATTAAAAAACACAGCATATTGTTTTGCAGCAGGACTGGGGGATCCAGGGACTCACCGGCTCGGAGCTGGCTCTTCATCAGCTGGGTCTGCGTCCCCTCCCCGCAGTCGAACAGCCAGCAGTCCCCCTCTGACCGCAGCACCAGAGCCGAGGCCCCGCGGTGAGGGGAGGGGTAGGCCGAGCCCGTCCCGAGGAACGTCATGTCCATGGTCATCCTCCAGCAGTGACCGGACAACAGGGGGAAACTGCCTACAACTGCATGCCATGCAACTGTAAACAACAGTCACACAGTGATGACGTAACACACGAGACGGTGCGGCGTTGACAAGAAGGTAGGACGTTTCTTGTTATATTAAAGTGTAAAGTCGAGTCTAAAAATGTAAAGTATGTAATAAAATATTAGGCCTACTAGGTTGAAAAAATATATATGAAAAATTCATAGTATAGTTTATCAAAAAATATTTAAAAAAGTTAAAGTATAGTTTGTTGAAAAATATTTAAGAAATGCCAGAATATAGTAGCCTAGGCTATGTCGAAAAATATATTTAAAAAAAGTCATGGTATAGTTTGTTGAAAAATATAAAAAAGTCATAGTATAGTTTGTTGAAAAATATATAAAAAAGTCATGGTATAGTTTGTTGAAAACAATACAAAAGGCATAGTATAGTATAACATATGAGAAAAAGTAATAAAATAGAATGTGAAAAATGTAATGAGGAAAGTAATAGTAGTCTATAGTTCTGTGTAAAATATTTTTTAAAACTCATAATATATATATTTTTTAAAAAGTCCATTATATAGACCGTAAAAAAATAGCAAATATATTTTAAGTAGCCTATAGGGTAGCATCTCGAAAAAATATAAAACAAGTCATAGTATTACTATGTTGAAAATATCATTTTTTTTAAAATCTCAATAAAAAGTATATATTCATAGTATATAGGGGTGTAATGGTTCACAAACATATCGGTTCGGTACGTTTTCGGTACAGCAAAAAAAAATGAGTAACATGCTTTTGTGAGCACAAACTAGAGGGGAACAGCCAACACCAGTGTGATTTTGGTGACGTTGTGACTGTCCTGGACAAAGTTGTAGGGGGGGGTGCCATATCTGGCAGGAGAAATACCTGCTCTGCTGAACATGTTATGTAGAGAACAGTGCAGATCTTCTAAAATAAAAAACATTAATAGTGTGATATATGCACAGATATAAGATCAATAATACACTTTATTTTAGTTAAACAATGCCGACAAACAGCTTTGGTTCGGTCCACCTGTCTTTGTTCGTCATCCTTGTACGTAACTGCGAAATCAAAATGTTCCCAAACCGGAGACTTCAATGATGCTGGAGGATTTTCGAGCTCAACTTTATCTGCGTTCGCCATTTCAACAGTTCCTCAAATGACTGACTACATTTGAACGCATCCCTGTCACCAGCCATAGTATGCCTCTCGTCCAATGAAATGACTGTTTCTATGACGCGTTGAACCCAATGTGAGCAAATTACACTGAACGCTGCGACGCAGCACCTGAGATTACTTCCAAAAAGTTGTTCACGTTCTCAATTTTTAACGTTATATTCGTTCGGTACACTTCGGTACACACGTGTACACACGTGTACCGAACTGAAGTGCCCATACCGAATATTTTCGGTACGAATACGTATACCATTACACCCCTAATAGTATAGTTACAGTATGTTGCAAACTTCATGAACAAAGTCATGATATAGAAAAAAGGTATAGACACCAGCCAGGTATAGAGATCTTTTGTTTTGACTGGTGAGCCTTCACCCCGGCTTTGCTGCCCACTTACAAAAAAGGGTTTAAGCATTATAACATACAAAGACTAAAACTACATAGGTATAACAGGCACTGCCTAAATCTTTATCAACACGGAAACCAATTGACAAAAGGATCACGTTTTAAAACTGTTTATTCTGCACATATTCTCTCTGCGTACAAATGCTAAGGCAATAGTATTTTGTAACAAAAATAATCTTCAGAAACACAGACTTGAAGGACACATCACCATATAAGTGCACAAACTACATGGAAAAAGCGATTACATTTTTATTATGGGGACGACACGACTTGCATGAGGAAAAACAACCACGAAACATACAAATTCATACTGGACGATTACAGTCAGTAACAACAGCTGGATAAGAGCAAACACTTGCTGAGGTTAAAATGGTTCTAATAATTTAATAAATGTGTGGAACTTTGTAAATTTGCCTTCAGTACACAGTCACAAACATTTCTGTACGGTACACAAAATATATTTTAAGGGAAAATACTGTGTATCCAATTATTTAATACTGCAAATTGTTCACTTAAACATTTAGGGATAGTTATATTGAAATTGTATATCACAGTTAAGCAAAGCGTTGATTTTTAGGGATAGATGCTTCTAAGCACAATTCATTAAAGGAGTGTTGATGTAAGGGTTTCTAATTAATATACAGCACATCTTAAAACATCCCTTGAAAATTAAATTAAATAAATTCAGAGAAATAAATACAATTTGACAAAAGCATTCAAACACATGACATGCTGGAGTGGACATTGGTTCCTTGGCTGTCTTCATAATATCTCATTGTTTGTTTCCCCTCCGTCTCTACTTGTTTCCACACAAAGCCATGAATGTTAAGCGTGTTTATACATGGGTTAAGAAGGAATTTTGTAAACATATATCTAACACTGAGCAATGTTAGATCATTGAAGAGCTCAATCCATCGAAAAAGGCAACTTTTGTACTTTATGCTAATGTGTGCACTAATTGTAGCTATATTTAGGTAGCCGAATAGTCATAGTAGTGGGTAGTGCTCACCCAAGACCAACCCGTGTCAGAAGTTCAACAACAACTTCTCTGCCTCAAATAAGACTCATCTTTAAATGAAATATGGAGTGTACCTTTCAAATGGGTAAAGATAATAATATTGTTTATTGTTTATTCCAACAATAGGGTAACTCTGTTTCAGGATATAAATGACTGAGAAGAAACACAAAACAGATCATGGAGTCATTTCTAGTATCTTGTAAAAGCCATCTTGAGCTTAGGCGGAGTATAGCATTTGGTGTTTTGGTTCCTGTTTGCAAGAGTGTATTACAACCACAGAATGTTTCTTTATAATTTACTGTAATATACTTAATTTAGAGTTATTTCAGTTATTTTTGTTGTAAAACTGAGTATTGATAATTCAAATCTTTTCTGAGGTTTCAACAATTAAAGCAGATTTCCACTCTGCCTTTTCCTACCACCAGGTGGCCCTTCATGTGCTGGTTACATGGGATGTACTGTAGAGGTGATAAATAATTAGGATTCTAAGTTAAATTGTCAATTTCTGTTTAAATTTGTTCTTTCAAATGTCACTTTCCACTATACCTTTTTCACAGATCTAATCAGAATGATTTAGTGCGCATGCAGTGACATGGTAGCACTACTTACTACTATCTGTTTTAATAAACAGATTTTTGCACTAAGATAATCATGATCCTCTCATAAGACCTGCGATGAAGAGTGAAGTGGAAAACGAAGGTGAGGGTTTGGTCTATTTCTCGTCAGTCTTGGGGCTGTAGCTGACACCTGGCCATTCGTAAGTGTCTGGCAGGAAGGAGTCGTAGTGGGTGTCCCACACAGTAGCCCGTACAAAGCTCTCCTTGTCCACAGGCTCAGGGTAGCGAAACGCCATGCCTTTAGCATAGACAAACTCCACCACCTACAGAAAGAGAGAAGGTTTAGCATGGATGCTGGAAAACCTGACACAAAAAGAAAACACAGACATCGAAAGATAAACTGACCACACGTTTTTGGACATCTTCGACCAAATTTGACTGGGAGGAAATACGTATCATGGCATCAAAATTCAAAGCGAACTAGCTTAATCTTACATATTATTACATTTGTCAAGGTGTGGTGCAACACATCCATGGATTTTAGAAATCAAATAATGATAAAAGAGTCTACATTTAGGCAAGAAGACTTTGGATTAAAAGGTTTATCAAGAGGTGAAACATTCAGATGAATTTTCAGGAGACTTGCCTTGACAGCCATCTGGATAGAGACCTCTCTGATGTTGGAGAGCGGAGGATAGAGTCTGCCTTCTGCCAGCTCTTCATCGGTCAGCTGCTCTGCAAGGGTCTGGAAGGAGTTTAAAAACACTTTTAGGCTGAATATGAAAAACAAGACACATAAAAACCACTAATAATATTTGCCAACAGCATATTTTTGAAATGTGAAGTCATATATTAAATATGTGCTTTTGAGTAAGACAACATTTGAATACAAATATATCAGAACAATTATAAAGGTTAATTCAGATTACAGAAGTGGCCAATCAACAACTACTCATATTACAAACTTGCAAATAATAGTGTCTTATTCATGCAAATGATTTCAATATTGAATAATAAGTTCTAAGACAGTGTGGTTTACATAAATATTGCATTTATCAATCTAAACAAGTCAAATGCAGCCAAGTGAAAAAGGGAGGAACACAGAAGGACAGAGGGCAAAGCCGGATCAGCCTTTTAAAAGCTCCTCATCTGTTAGATGTTAGTCTAGGAAAAGAGGGAACAGGAGACGTGAAAGGGTTAAAGAGGGTCTCTATAAGATCATACAGCGGATGCATACATGACAGAGTCAGCAAGAAAGAGCAGGGTGGGGTGTAAAGAACTTGAAAGGAGAAATACATAGCATTGACTTCAGACCTTGGCAGCCTCTAGGAACACGGTGTCACTGATGTGTCTCACTCCACTCAGGATCACAGCCAAGGCCACACCTGCAATCCACATTCAAAAGGTTTTCAAACAGAATACAATTACTCTTTGTAATGTAATGATGTTGTCCATAGTACAAAGATGGTGAAAATACTAGGCTTTGTCCACTTCTCGCACTGTATCTGAAAGTCAGTCTTATGTACATGGAATCACTCAGATAAAAAAGCATTTATTCACCTGGGAAGATGTAAGCGTTGTTCCCTTGTCCAGGAGTGATGACGCGCCCATCGCTCAGAGTCACTGGACCGAAAGGACTGCCACTAGCAAAAAGACATCTGCCCTGTGGGACCAAAAAACAGATTGTTAAAGAGTGATAGTGATAGTGATAGTGGGAAAAAGAACAACAACAACATGACTGATTTGACAACCCGGGGACACTTAATTTCTGACTTTCTGTCAAATGAAACAAAGGAGAGGAAAGAGCTGTGTACATCAGTTAGTGTGTAGGCGTCCTCTGCTGTGCACTCTGCTTTAGTGGTGGGGTTACTCAGGGCAAAGATGATTGGTCGGTCGTTCATAGTTCCCATGGCTTTGAGGACATCGGGAGTGAACAGACGTCCAGCTCCGGAAACACCTGGAAGGAATGGCAACATTATTTAAATATTAAAAACACATTGAAAAAATATGTTTGAATGTTATTAAACACAGTCATTAAAGAACCAAGTTAACAGAAAATACAAAACAGACTGGTATAAAATACAAGACAATGGTAAGAAACTAATTATGTGATTTAAGAAGTCAGCGTAAAACAGAAATTTTAGAAAGACCTGATCTAAAGACCTGATCTAAAGGCCTAAAAGTGGAAGAAAATGTTGTTTTTTTAATATAATTTCTGCACAACCTGAGCAAGCATTTACATTGACAGAATGCTTTAATGATTGGATGAATAATAAAAAGCCTAAATATAAAATATAGTTATTCAAATGACCTGATCAAATCTTGTGCTTTCATAAAATTGAATAAATCATAACAACAGCATAATAAACAAGAGCATGTGAGCATATTTTATTCAGTCTCTGATTTTTGATTACTGGCTCAAACCTAAAAACCCATTTTCCAAACAAGGCTTTACAGTTACACAAATAAGAAGATGGGAAGTTCCTCACCAATAATAGCTGTGGGTTTGATGGTGTTGACGGCATCCAGGAAGCTCTGCACGGACCCTGGACTGTCATGGACAAACGCCTCCTGGTTAGAGTCCGTCTCCTCCTGTCGGCCCTGATTTCAACAAGACATCAAAACAAAAGTAAACTCTTTGTTCACTAATTAAACAGTATACTAACAGTGAGCCAGACAGAAAGCCACACAGACAGGTAATGCATGTTCTGGTTGTTGATTTCTGCATCGCACAAACTAACCTTTACAAGTAAGCCATGTTTATCGAACATCCAGATCTTATTTCTGGCCTCAGCTTGGGACACTCCCTTCTCCATCATCGCCATGACGATCAGATTGGCAATACCAAGCGCAGCCTAGGAAGGAAATTACCAAAGTTAAATACCAAAAGTAAAGACAGTGTTTACAACATTAAACCATCACTTCTATTTGTTGACATATTCTTTCTTTATTGTTGTAAAAGAAGTTGCACAAAAATGACGAATGGTTTTGTAGATGAAGAAAACTATCTCTGAGCTCAGTCAATTCAGTCATGTTTCTTCCCTTAATCCCAAGAAGATTCAGAGAGGTCCCCATTCTCTTTCAAAAATACAAGTCCTACCACCAATACAGTATCTACATTTCACTAAACTGTAGACATCAGATAGTAGATTTTTACAACTAAACAGAAGGACATTTATTCCCAACCCACTCTGTCATTATAGCCTTTCTAGCCTTGTACACTTTCAGAGAATCCTTTATAAAAAGGCAGAAAAGCAGACTGGGGAGCAGATCTCCACACCTGCTTTTTATGTACTTTTATTGCACTCCAACAATCTTTTAGCAATTAGGAGAATTTTCAGAAGCTTTTGTTTGAAAATGAATCTATTTTGTAATGCAGAATTAAAACAACAAGTAACAGAACCTATCAAACCTACCTCCAATATTTCCTTGAAATGTAATTGTCAACATTGGCAATATTTTCTTTTAGTATTACCGGCTTTGGTCAGTAGGGGGCAGCGTAGCACTTACAAATTGTTTTGATATATGGGAATTTCTCATTAGAAATTGGAGAGAAAACAGAGAAAAATGCCAAATTGACTAATAAATATTAATACATATTATCATACCTCTCCAGCTCCCAAGAAAAGCACCCGATGTTCAGTGATGGGTTTGCCAATGGCTCTCTGAGCTGCCAACAGACCAGCAAGGGCTACAGCTGCAGTGCCTGAAAACATGCAAAGAATCCAACAGTAAACAATAACATATCTGCTTTGATGACAACAAATTAACCACTTTCTGTTTTCAGGTAGTAGGACTCATGAAAACTGAAATGTACTGAACTTAATTCAATTATTTTATTTGCTTGAATAGGTAAACTGTATGGCATTATAATAAAGTAGAACTCCTAAGTGCAGTATTTAGGGCCGAACCTTGGATATCGTCGTTGAAGGTGCAGTACTTCTCCCTGTACTTCCTGAGGAAGCGGAAGGCATTGTGGTTCCCAAAGTCTTCAAACTGGATGAGTGTGCCCTGCCCGTATTTGTCCACCACAGCTTCCATGAACTCATCAATCAGATCATCGTAGACCTGAGAATTATCTCGCTCCTGGTACAGGCCCATGTACAGCGGGTCTTTGAGGAGAGTCTGATTGAAGGGAAAGAAGAAGCATATGAAGCATAATGGATGTCCACACATACAATATATAGAAAACATACACATATCTGTCCTACCTCATTGTTGGTGCCAACGTCTATGGCCACAGGCAGACATCTCTCAGGTCTAATGCCGGCGCAGGCTGTGTACAGACAGAGTTTTCCAACTGGGATGCCCATTCCATAAACACCCAGGTCCCCTAGTCCTAAAATACGCTCTCCATCAGTAACCACTACCGCCTACAGGAAGAGGCAGGTGGAAAAGAAGTACACTAGTCAGCATAATCCCAGATATCACACAGATGTAAACAACAGGAAACTGGACCTTGGCCAGAGGCCTGTACTACGAAGCCGGATTTTCCTAACCTGGATATGTTTGAGTTAGCCGGTTGGCCCAATCCAAAACATACGCGCTGGCGCTAAGCTGTACTACGACGCTGGTTATCAAGTGGATCGCTCAAGCCAGCCGTGTCCTATCTAGTTAGGTGCGCGTTCACATGAAAGGGGTGGTATTTGGAGCATTCGACCAATCTCAAACATGGACAAGCGTACTGACAGCGCAGCGTCATACTTCCTGAATGAAAAGTGAACTTTAATATTAGTCAAATATGAAGAAGTTAAACTTTAAACATCCATGACTTAAACACTTTATCCAGGATAAAAGCCACATAGTTGCAGCTGCAAGGTGAATACAGCTGGTAAAAGAAAAAGTGTTTGAATGCGTACATTAACAGGTTTATGAAATCACTGCCCCGTCCAAGACACGAGTGGATCTGACTTTAATTACATTTGACTTGAGTGTTTCGTCAACTTAATGTGTTGCTTAAAATAATACTTCTGCATACAGTATGTGACACTGTGAGTGTTGCACGGCCAGATACGGCTCAGTTGACTCAGATAAGGAAATATATGATACATTATGATGTGATATGATATGAATGATAATGGGACACATCTACGTCTGCACTCACAGTGCCGCGGACTGTACTTAATGTTACTCTGATCCGGTTACTTATGTTGTGGCAGATATTTAAGTAAGCTTTCTTAACGCTAATGTTATAATAGTCAGATTGCTCTGAAGATGGGAGGGGATATTCTATTAATTTTCACGTTCACACAGTCAGTTGATTTTTGCCGGCAGTTTTTCTGTATTTCCTCTATCCTGTAATATGACTTGATAGCTTTAAACTCCGCACACGGAGCTCTGATTGGTCAACAGGCGGTGCTTTCACTGAGTTGATCTCTTAGCCTGCAACCTAACCTCCTCCCGAGGAGGTTAGCCGCTCAGCATAAGTTACCATGGAGATCTAGCCCGCTAAAAAGAGAACCAGCACCGGAAAGCCCGAGTTTTCCCTGAAGTCAGCCGGCTAAGCGAAAATCCGGCTTCGTAGTACAGGCCTCATTCGTAGTACAGGCCTCAGGTGAATGTAGACATAATGAGTTAATTAATCATTCTTCCCTAAATGAATGTGATGTCTATAACTGATTTATATTAATTTAAAGTTGTGTAGCCACAATTCATTTTTTTTAAATCCTTTGTCTGCATGATTTTGAGGGATGAATGGTCCTAGTAGACTCATTTAAACAGTATTATAGACATTAGCTTCAGTTAGACGTGGTGTTACTGTGGTGATGTTCTCAGCTACTCACTGCAACATCAGTCTCTGGCCAATTGTCTAGGATGGAACGAATGTGTCCTTTGTCCCGAATGGAGATAAACAAACCTCTGGTGAGAGAAAAAAGCCAAATGAATAATTTCAAGATTCTATTCACTAAAGAATAAAAACAAACAATAATATTTTCACAACAATAATATCCTCAAAATTATTTCAGTCAGGGTGTTGACACAAACCCAACCATAAGTCAACAGCTCAAGTCAAACACTGTATATATATATATATATATATATATATATATATATTAACATATAATAGATAGATATTGTATACAGAAAAATCCTTTTAAATATTTCCAGTTATGCCTTTAAATGAAACTCCTAAACAGGAGGCTCGATTACAGGCACATCAAGCCTTAAGCAGGTACAAATGTAAACTATAGGTGCTAAGTTCAATGTTCTTCTTCATAAAAGGCTTAGACTATCGGAAAATAAAAAATCCTTGTAGTTTTTTTACGTGTTCTCTTTCAGTAGTCGGTTATTGAAAGCTTCACTGCATGCTTACTTGGGTCTTCTGAAGATGTGTCCATAATGTGTGCAGGCCAGGCCTACAGTGGGAGTGTAAACTATTGGCATCAGTTCCTCGATGTCTTCCATCAGCACCCTGTAGAAAAGCCTCTCATTCCTTTCCTGGATGCCCATCAAGTAGATGTACCTTTGTGGAAAAGGAGAAACAATGTAAAGAGAAAGAAAAGTTCAACTGTATGGAAGGAAATGTTTCAGACAAACATGATTAATAACCAACAGACAATAACATGCTGTGGGTATGTGTTCCAGTACTTTAAGATATGACATGTCCTTACTTCTGCAGGGGATCAGTCATGTTCTTGAGATTATTCTGAAAGCGCATGGCCTGAATGTCCTGAGTCTCCACTTTGGGAGGCAGCAGACCATGTATCCCCAACATCTGTCGCTCCTGGAGAGTGAAGGCCATGCCCTGCAGAAACACACAGAAAACAACTGGAAATGAGTAGGGAGACAAAGAGAATGTGAATAAAACAACCACTTAGAGAATAACTTTATGACAAGTTACCTTTAACGGGCAGGATTGTTCATAAATTGTGGTTGTGAAAATTGAAAAAGATAGCCTGTTTGGATGTTTTGTTTTCTCTGAGCTTCTAAACTCTTCTTGTGCAGAAGCATGTTTGCGCTCATAGTATTTCTAATCAGTTTACTTCACATTGTTGCTTGAATTTAATTATGGTATTTGGTATGCATATTCACTTACAGGATATGACTAATAACAGATATGACTGAAATGCACTCTGTTAGAAAATGGCAGAAGATTGGTTCCTCCTTTGAAAGTTGTCTCCTTAAGAAGCATTGCTGCAGGAAATGGTCAGGAGAGGGTATTACCCATGAGCCCTCAGAGGGGGGTGACCACTTGACCATTTTACCTTTTACAGTAAAGTGAAATGTGGAGGCCAGATGAAAGCATTTTGCAGTAGGGGAAAGGAGGGTAAAGGGGTAAGAGAGGGGAGTAGCCTCAAAGAAGCCAATAAGGAGGATCCTGGGCAGAAACACCCCAAGTGCTGTATAGAGGAGATGACGTGGAGGAGGGGTACAAAGTGTTTCATGATCCTGCAGTGTATGTAAGCCTGTATGTAGGTTTACGAACCCAACTCTGAATGATATATGTGCATAACATTTGGAGGCCCTCACATCTGTGGCTGGGGCTGATTATTCTGTGATGAATGCTGGGGGCTCCCCTGGCAAAGTGCTGAGTCATGCTGATGGAGGATTTCACTTCCCTCAGCTCCTGTACTCAGTTCCTCTCAACAGAATCCAGCAAACTGCAAACCTCTGATATCTCCTATTTCCATTTTTACATAGAAATGTTCCCTCAGATTAGTTTTTTCCAAATTGCGGTTTAACATTTATTTTGAGTATGTCAAGTGATTTAAACCCGTTAAAGGAAGCCTAACCTGATTTCCTAAAAACACGTATTTGTACTGTTTTGATATGCGTTTCTCATTTTATCTATACAATGGACATGACATTGGTTTCAATAATCATTTTATATATGCAAGTAAAACACTTTTGATTTGTTAATAACATTTAAGAAATGTGAGATCACTGAGATCATATATATATATCATCTTAGAGACTAGATTTTACCATCTGGTGTAAGTTTGCTGACAGTGTAATGAAATGAACAATGCATGTCTGCAACACTATGACCTTTGCTGTTGAGGTATGAGGAGTCATGACAGTCACAGTAATTCAGTCTGCTGATGCCAGTCACTTCTAATCTGGCAACACTTCCTATGAGAAACCAGCCGTTGCCGTCTTTGTCTTGTTTCATGCAATTTTAAGTGTTTTTAAATATAAGACACAATAAACTTAGTGACTTTTCATACTATTAAAAAATCCAGAATCTGCTCAAATAGATAAAAGGAACACAATGAGGAAGGCCAGAAGTGCATTGTGAAATAAAGGTGCTGTGAGTACAGTATTTGTAGGACTATCAGCCAGTTAACCTCTGACCAGTATTTTTATATTTAGCACAACATGTGTAGTGCAGGCCGTAAATTCAAGCAGCTACAGCCTCATGTTTCAAATGTCATTTGTAGCTTGCAGTAACCTGACGAGACACCCAGTCAAACAATTCACATCCTCTATCAACAATATGAGACACCGTTTTCAATTGAAGTCCCCACCTTGCAACAGGAATGCAAAAGTGACACCCTGTTAGGTGTGGTTACGTGTTTGTATAGCACAACACAAGGCAGTTTGCAGCTCTTTACATAAGGATTAGCACATTGTTTCAAAAAAGCAGAGAGAAGTCAAATAAAGACAAAAGGAAAAATAGACATACATAATCAAACGATTTAAAACACACTACTTTTAAAAAGCATTTGCAGTTCAGAAAATAAGACCCCAAACTTAATAAGCAATTGCACAAAAAAAGTTTTCAAACTTGATTTAAAAGACATTTCTGACCACATCGAGCAGTGATACTGGGTTCAGTCAGAAATCCAGCAGAGGTAAAAAGTGATATTAATGCATTTCTGACTTTAAACAAGCTACACTCGACCAGATTATCTCAGCAATTCTAGTTTAGTAAAGGTTTCTAAGAATCACCGTTTTTCATAAATAAACCTAATAAGATTTTAGGTTTATGAAAACGGTGATTAGTTTGGAAGCTATCTAGAAATATATATTTTCAGTATAAAGTACAGTGGCTTTGAAAAGTTCAAATTCAAATATCAATTACTGTAGTTTTGCAGTGAGCCATCTGTCTAAAGTCTGTCAAGCCAGGCAAAGTCAAACAGCAGAAAATGAACAGCAGCCAACCAGCTGCTGAAAAAGCATTGGCACTGATGGGAAAGTTGTTCTAGTTATAAGCAGAACCAACCACTGGCTTAGGGATAAGATGAACTGATGCAGTGCTTGACAGGACTTTATAATACCATGTTGTCTGCGTGTTAAATAATTCATGTGGTGGTTGCATTATACTCACTTTTTAAAGCAGCTTTGTATATGATCATGGTTTGCAAGACATTTGTTGGTATTTCTGTATTTCATTAGCAAAGAATATTCTGAAACTCAAACCAATTATTTTCCACCAGGGCAGCTTATGACATGTTAATAATGCTGTTTAACCACCATGTGTTTTTTTACACATTGTTAGTAATCCACTCACTTTGTTGGTGCGCGGGTTGAGCATGAGGGGCTTGCCCTTATCTTTGGTGTGTGCCCATCTGCAAACAGAGACACAGGGCCTCAGAGACCAGGTTGTCTTCAACCTGGACAACATGGTGGACTGTCACTGGTCTGGAAGGTCCACTGGGGAAAAGCTGGAGAAAAAAAAATGAAAGAGAAACAAAGTTAACAAAATAACCTAAAGTGTTGTTATCTTTCGACATCGGAGGAAAACAATGGATATGTATGTTGGTCATAATAGGTAGCTGTTCTGGGATGCTGAATAATACTAAGAAGTCTCCTATTTATGTTTGTTCAGTTGTAGTTTATTCTTATTTCAAAAAATCCAATCATCAATTATTAAGCTTGCAGTCTGAGTGCATGTGAATATTTTCTCTAGTGTCATTGGGTTGTTCAAAATGATTGCTTTCACTACTCTTCCTTCTGCCAATCAGGACAGGAAGTGCAATGCTGCCACAACCTTTGAACATATGACATCATTAGACTTTATGCTATCATGACAGTAAGTTATCCCACTGATGCCCTATAAATCCCAGAAGCCTTTGAACGTACACTCGATGATTAGAAATGCAGACAGCAGCATCATTAATCTGGGTGTAGAGAGAAGTGATTTAGTGCGTCATCTGACAAACAAAGCCTTGAGAGATTGTCATAATCCTTTTCGCACAGAGCTCCACATGAAGAGAGAAAACAAGTTACAGTAAATCGAGATGACATGAGTCGACAGATAGGAAAGACAGGCTGATATAAGTATCACAAGAAAACCACTAACAAATCACACAGAAAATATGTGCCATTTTCAGAGCATTTTCAGAATAAGTAATGTCTTTTATTTTGGGAGAGAAGAAGATAAAACAAGCTCAAAAACCTTTCCTACCAAAAAACCTTTACTCGAGGGCCCCTACCCTACTGTCAGCTGCTGTTGGTGGCCTGGAATAGTCTTTGTGAGAGTTATATCATGCATGTGACCTGTGATTCGCAGTGATGCGGACTTGTCTAACCTCTCTAAGTTGCAATTCAGAGTGGATTCCCCCTCATGATAAATATCGTGCCAAAGGGTTGTATCCTGACTGAAACCAGAAAGTAAATGCTGCTTTTCCACCATGGCCTAAAAAAGCGACCTTAAATTGCCTACGCAATCTTGTGCCTTAAATGTGAATGTAAAAAAGGGCATATTGTTTAAGCGTCCCGATATTACAGATGGAGCCAGAATAATATCTTAATCCAACCTTCTGAATTCTGCTCTGGCTCTGGTGTATTTTATTTTCAATCCCAAAATACTTTTGGCCTTCCTAAGGTCAAGACATGACCCAGAGGAAATGCAACTGGACCTGTAAGCAAGTTATGTGGGCAACAACGACACAAGCATTTTCACAGCACGCACAGTTTCTATTTTAGTTCCCTGAAGTCTAGTGCTGAGACCAGAATGCTGAAAGAGGTATTCCTTTAAAATACAAGATAGATGTTACAGTCAGCTGTTACAAAAACAATATCAAATTAAATATAATTTTAACCTATAGGCCGATTAAACAGGGGAAAGGAGTTGAGAGCTGGCTCCTTTGAATGACTTCACGGCCTGGACCACATGCAGCTGAGCTTAGGTGGCAGAAGTCACATCTATGAGCCAGTTATTGTAACAGACAGCACCCATCTGTGCTGTCAACATTTGCATACCCCTGCTCCATTCATCACTACACTACACTTACTTTCAACTGTCCACCCATGTTATTATAGTAATAATCACCCTCATAAGAAAATATGAATGGAGATGAACAAATATATCTCAAAATGCATTCAAACAAGATGCCACTCACATGCTCCATCAAGTAGTGCTTGCAACAATTATATAAAAGTCCCTGCGTTCAATCACGATATGCTATTATACTTTTGATAAGCAACCTTTTCAGTTTATAAATGATGTTTATGGATAAAATGCATAAACATAATGTATAATGTGTATGGCAACCATGGATCTAATTCTCTATCAGCCTGTATTTCTTGTTAAAGAACAGATTCAGAGTTAACACTGTGGTCTGATTCTGTTCCCCTCGCTTTGACCAACATTACTCATTTTTTTTTAACATATCACAGGCATTGCCAGCTTGCAAAGACTTGACTTACAACTACATATCCAGAAAACATCAACTAGCAAGCATCAAAGTCAGGGCCAAAGTGTCAGACTGTATAAGCAGCACCCACAATAATTGGACATTTTAGTGCTCTGATGATTTGATATTCAAATTGAAGCAGCCTTGATGCAGCCTCTATGAATTACAGTCTTTGTGCTGGACAAAATAATATTTTATGGTTGTTCACATTTATTTTAGCTTCCTGCCTGTTCATAGAACGCCTGAACACTTGGTGGGGTGAAGGGACTTGATCAGCATGTCAGCTCCAAAGGAATCAAACATGCTCAGATTGTCTGTAAATGTGTTTTCTACTTTGTGTCTGACAAGTACCAGACAGAAACTGTCATGAGCTTTGTATTCATGCGAGTGCAACTACTGTAAATGTCCTACTTCGACACCTGACTAGATAAACTAGTGATTGGTTAGAAATGTTTAACCCAATGCTATACAAATCGCATTAAAGCTTGCGATTATTATTGCTTGAAAATATGTGTGCAAACAATGTGAATTGACTCAGTAGGCACAATGTAATCAAACCCACACACATGCTTTCAAGTCTTGACCTTCTATGGTTTCAGAGGGGAATTTTACAAGGACCAGAGTACACTTGTATGAAAGCAAAAGCAACATTAATATGCTGCCTAAGACATTCTTAGTCGACTTGTGTAATAATCAACTAGCTGATTTATTGAACGTTTTCTCCAAAAAGAATCAAGCATTAGCACCATTTTAAATTGTGTGTTTAACAAAGATGTTCTATTAAATTGATTGGAAATAAGTTATTCAGCCTTAAAATAACTTATACAAATAACTTAATGATCAACTAAAGATATCCGAGTGGACTAAGACCGAAAATACCCATTAGTATATTAACTGGTTTAGAGGGGCATCCCAATATATTAGTGTATATTAGTACAAGTACAACTATGTCTTAAATAGTAATTGCAGAATTCTACAAACAGGCATTAGCCTAGTGACAGCTGGGTATAGTTTTACTGACAGGTGTTTTTATTATTCCCTCCACAACTTCAGATCTTGTTTCTCCTTTTGTGAAAGTGTCGGGCCATGATGAACATGCTGCTGTGCTAATGTTGTAAATGTGTTTTTAACCACAGCAACATGTGTCGCAACATCGGGTATCCTTGTTCTTAATGTGCCTAATGTAAAAACTGATACAATAAAATAGATATGTATCCCTCACTGTCCCTACTTCCCTATTCTGTCAGAGGTGGAAATGGAGATAATGAATATATCTGCTTAGTGTGAGCATATTACTAAGTTTACATAGAAAAGTCTAATGGAAATGTTATAAAAACTGAATCTCACTACAGTGGTAAGCTAACCTGGTATTTAGCCTAGCAATTTCAGCCAGATACAAACATGAATCTAACAACTGCTACAAGCTAAAGCTAGCCAATAACTACTAGGGACCACAACAACCTGTGTCGTTATTTGAAAAAAACCGTTACAGCGAGCTGGTAAAGGAAAGCAAAGTCTACCGACCCAATTTTAGTAAATATTGGAACATTTGTAATCGCACGCCAACACGAACCAGATATCCTGATATGCTGTCATTCATTCTGACCCCCCGCTCACTAATTATTGGCTCAACGCGAAGTTCTTTGATGACGCACAAAGACTTTCCATTTCAAAGAGAGAAACTTCTCGGCTTACCTGCTCTTGAGTATTATAATATTGCCGGTTATTTCCGTTGAAAAGGTTACTGTTTAAACAGCATATTTCTCCTGGAGGTCGCTGTGTAAATGCGGTTGTTTGACCGCTTGGTGTATCCTGTTAACGGCAGCCGCAGATGCAGCAAAGTGAGGAGACGCTCAGTGTGGAGGAAACCTCGACGCTCGTCCAATCACGTGCCAGGATTTCCTCCTTGGTTACCGTAAAGACTCGGGCATGCGCAAGATTTTCTTTTTAGTGTGAAGCCCATCCGTCGTAGTTACTGTAGAAGAAGGACCTCATTCAAGTGTTTATGTTTTTTGTTAAATAAGTAATAATAATAATGTTTTGTTTTTCTGTGGATTATTAAATATCTGTATTTTTTGTTATGTTTTTTTAATCATGGGCATGAGAGAAACAATAATTCATCAGATGAACACATCTATCATTAAGATTATATTAAGTTTTTTCAGCGTGAAGTGATTTGTTTGTGCTAAATACGCACAATAAAAGACAGGTCATAAGCAATGATCATAAAATTAGGGCATTAAAGGTATGCTTTTAAATGGTTTCCTAACCTCAGGTTTAACAATGCATGGGTGCAGGGGCGTGCACAGACATTTTGGGGGGCGGGTGCTCAAGTGAGAAAAAGGGCACTTCCCATAATCATTTATAAAAAAATGTTTTAAAACAAAAAGTTAAATATAGTTGCACATCTCTGACTTACTGACCGATTTATTTTAATACCCTCACACTCACGCAATTGTTTAATACTCAACAGAATTCTACCAAAGAATCAGCTAACACAGAGACAATGGTCTTCTTTAGTATTCACAATGCACAAGAGCAGACAACAAACTAGTCAAATTAATAGTTATTAAATGAGCAGCCAACAATCAAAATTATGAAGTTACTGTTTAAGGCAGGACATTACAGGCAAAAAGATTGTTTTTTCATGTACTTGTTATTTTTGGTCTATTTTGCTTCCATGTTTTCTTTCACTCTAATGGAAATAAAACTTCCAAGAAACACATATAAATGGTGTTCGTTTTACTGCATTTAAACATAACATTTCAGGGGAAAATACTGACTTGACGTAAGTAACTATCTGGGGAAGTTGTGAGGTGATTTTTTAGTTGTATCCTTTTCACCTGCAATGCCTTGGTAACTGCATGCAAATTAGTGCATTTTAATTAGGCCTAGTTAACGCCTAATTTGCATATCAATGTGGCGATTGTGATGACGTTATTAGATACACATTTTACTGTATTCACTTTAAGTGTCTCCCCTTAAGTACAGTACATTAGCCTGTATGCCCATGATAAATTACCTTAGCTAAACCTTGAGCTAATTTATCCATTAGCTAGTAGCCTACCTTAGTTAACTATAATTGTTATTGTCTTTTAGCTAATTAGCTGTAAACTCGAGGCACTGGCAGTTTAGTAATTTGTTCATCACCACTCACCTTCAAAATAAGCCAAGAAAAGCCGGTGTTGTGTCAAATTATGCACCCCTGTCGTGAAATGCACCCCTTGACACGGGAACGCGCATTTGAATGTATAGTCCACTATTCTATGTTGTCTCTTTGATGGTTGGGTTGTCGAATCCTGGATTTTGCATTCATTCGTCACTTATTTTTCAGTTCATTTTGTATTTAATATATGTTTTTATTTAATTGTGACGTCCTGTCTGTATAATTGTGCTTGTACTTGTGCTTTACAATGTATTGTTTATTTTTTACATCAAGTGCTTGAGGGTGGGATTAATAGCATTTTTTTTATTTTGGGGGGTGCTTTTTATGAGCAGCCTGGTTGCCACGATATGCACCCCTTGCTATCTCTGACAATAAACGTGTCACATACATGAAACTTGCTCCATTTATATATAAACTGAGCTCTATGGGGGTCTTTGAAACTAACGCGTGCGCACGCATGCACACACACTCAAACTCAATCACACACACACACACACAAACTCAATCACACACACACACACACACACACACACACACACACACACACACACACACACACACACACACACACACACACACACACACACACACACACACACACACACACACCAATAATAAACATATGGACAGGGGTTACTATTTCAAAAAAAAATGCAAATGTATTTGGGAACCTATCCATGTGAACATATTTTGGGGGTGGACCTCAAATCCTCTAGGGGGGTCCGGGGGCATGCCCCCCCTGGTAAGATATTTTTTAAATTTTGGAGTTAAATGCATCAATCTGGTGCATTTTGAGGGGAAAATAAAGAGACTAGATCTATGGAAACACCCATATGAAACAGATGCCACATCATGTAGACAGACAGTCACCCTGTGTGAGGCAAACCCACATTTGCGCAGCGTTGCGTTCACAATAGCCTACATTAAAAAAAAAAGATCGCTAGGCCATCGGGAAACCTCCCGGCCCTCCCGATGGCCAGTCTGGGCCTGCCAGCAGCCCTCTACTTGCTACAAACTTAAATATGAAAACATAGCCGTGGGAACATGTTTCAAATGGGGGGTGCTGTGGGGATGACACCAGGGCCGGTTCTGACCAATTTGCTGCCCTAGGCAAGATCTTTGCTGGTTCAATTATATCTTATTTTATCAGTTAACATTTATTTATTCATCCATATTTTTTAATCTCTCCAGTTTTAAAGGATATTGTTGGTTTACTGTCCTATAGTATACATGTGCCAAGAGCAAGGACTGTCTTAGGTAAGACAGCTTTTATGTGCGCAGCTCCACTTGCTTGGAACAATCTTCAGCAAGAATTGAAACTGAGCAATCTCATTCCTCTGCATGTTTTTAAAGCTAGGCTAAATGAAATGCTCGTTGATACTATGGGTACTTGAAAATGTCTATAACTATGTAAATGTATCCTGTAAATATAATGTATGATGTCCTTTATTGTTTTATGTTTCATGTGGAACCTATATGCTGCAGGTCTCCCTTGAAAAAGAGATCTATGATCTCAATGGGACCAATCTGGTTAAATAAAGGTTTGAAATGAAATGAAATGACATTGGAATGATTTCAAACCTGTTTTTATTTATCCTAATAATTATAAAGGTGTGCCTTGGAAATATTTGTTTACATAAATTGTGATAAAACCGTTTGAGACACACTGAGATAACTTAGACTAAAGTGAGCAAATGGAAAATGTAACCGGGGTGAAAAGGGTGTTACCTTTACTTAATTATGAATGTGAACAGTTGCATCAACAGCTTTTTCAATGTGCTGCTGACTGCTGGAAAGTGGTTTTACTTGAATGTATTTGTTTCGTCCATTGTGCTAATGCAGGTGGGGCCGACCAGTTATACAAGAGGTAGATAATAGCTGTACTTTTTTTGAGCCACATGCCATGATGCACCAACATAATTGTATTATTTAGACTGACATTAAGAAGAGAGAGAGAGAGAGAGAGAGAGAGAGAGAGAGAGAGAGAGAGAGAGAGAGAGAGATGAGAGAGAGAGAGAGAGAGAGAGAGAGAGAGAGAGAGAGAGAGAGAGAGGATATCAGACAAAGTGATATCAGACAAAGTGATATGAGTGATAGTGAAACGTTTTAACTTTCATTTAGCAAAAAATAGCATGAAACTTTACATGCTAGTTCCAAAGTAACTTCCTGAAATGTAATTGTCTGCGGTGATTCTACGGAGTCCCCAAAGGCCCAAAATTGTGCACACAAAACATATTTTCGGCTGCCCGGGCATAAGGAAGTAGCTTATGAAATCTCTGTTAGTTTAAACTCCCACTTCACTACTTTACATTCAAAACAAATAGCTTATAAAATGTGGCACGGCATTATTGATAAAGCTACATATTAGTCTATAAAATAGTTACATCATACTTATCTTACCCAGCAACACCAATAAAATACTGCTTCACATAAATGCATCGCAAATAATCATCAGTTTTTATTCAATGCATATCGAGGCAACTGAACCACACATCAACATTTCATCCATGCATTTCTTCACTTGTCAGTTGTTGTTCAAGCTCTCAAACAAACAAGCGGGCAGTACATCACATTGGCTCTTTTTGCTGCTACTTTGACAACATGGTTGCAACCGGTTTTGTTTTTGTGCTGTTGATGCCAATTTTCATTTTTTTAGAAAGTGAGTTGATGATTTCATAAACTAAGAGTGAGGTACATTTTCACCTCGCAAATTTTCCATCCAAATGAAGCAACATTTCTAAATCATTTTCAGACAAATTTGACTACACATGTTAGTGTTGTTAGACCTTGTTGTCTTATATTTTTGTACAGCACTTTGAATTGCTTTGTGTTGAAAGGTGCTATATAAATGCCGAGTGATGATTAATAAATGTCCAAAGTGTCTATTACGTTAGTAGGAAATCCAACCTAGAGCAATTGAGCATTGGAATAGAACATGTTGTTTCATAAGGCCCAATGAAAACAAACACGAGGCAGAATCTAAACAGGAAAGTGTAAAAACATGTTGAATCATTAAACATCTGATAGAACAAGAACAAGACACAATTAGTTTTTGTTTTTCTAAAAACAAAACAATGAGGTAGATACTAGCTGTCATTTTTTTTAAGGAGGGGCAGCTTGGGTGTATTGTTGTACATAGCCGTGGGAACATGTTTCAAATGGGGGGTGCTGTGGGGATGACACCAGGGCCGGTTCTGACCAATTTGCTGCCCTAGGCAAGATTTGTGCTGGTTCATATATATCTTATTTTACCAGTTAACATTTATTTATTTATCCATATTTTTTAATCTCTCCAGTTTTAAAGGATATTGTTGGTTTACTGTCCTATAGTATACATTGGAATGATTTCAAACCTGTTTTTATTTATCCTAATAATTATAAAGGTGTGCCTTGGAAATATTTGTTTACATAAATTGTGATAAAACCGTTTGAGACACACTGAGATAACTTAGACTAAAGTGAGCAAATGGAAAATGTAACCGGGGTGAAAAGGGTGTTACCTTTACTTAATTATGAATGTGAACAGTTGCATCAACAGCTTTTTCAATGTGCTGCTGACTGCTGGAAAGTGGTTTTACTTGAATGTATTTGTTTCGTCCATTGTGCTAATGCAGGTGGGGCCGACCAGTTATACAAGAGGTAGATAATAGCTGTACTTTTTTTGAGCCACATGCCATGATGCACCAACATAATTGTATTATTTAGACTGACATTAAGAAAGAGAGAGAGAGAGAGAGAGAGAGAGAGAGAGAGAGAGAGAGAGAGAGAGAGAGAGAGAGAGAGAGAGAGAGAGAGAGAGGATATCAGACAAAGTGATATCAGACAAAGTGATATGAGTGATAGTGAAACGTTTTAACTTTCATTTAGCAAAAAATAGCATGAAACTTTACATGCAAGTTCCAAAGTAACTTCCTGAAATGTAATTGTCTGCGGTGATTCTACGGAGTCCCCAAAGGCCCAAAATTGTGCACACAAAACGTATTTTCGGCTGCCCGGGCATAAGGAAGTAGCTTATGAAATCTCTGTTAGTTTAAACTCCCACTTCACTACTTTACATTCAAAACAAATAGCTTATAAAATGTGGCACGGCATTATTGATAAAGCTACATATTAGTCTATAAAATAGTTACATCATACTTATCTTACCCAGCAACACCAATAAAATACTGCTTCACATAAATGCATCGCAAATAATCATCAGTTTTTATTCAATGCATATCGAGGCAACTGAACCACACATCAACATTTCATCCATGCATTTCTTCACTTGTCAGTTGTTGTTCAAGCTCTCAAACAAACAAGCGGGCAGTACATCACATTGGCTCTTTTTGCTGCTACTTTGACAACATGGTTGCAACCGGTTTTGTTTTTGTGCTGTTGATGCCAATTTTCATTTTTTTAGAAAGTGAGTTGATGATTTCATAAACTAAGAGTGAGGTACATTTTCACCTCGCAAATTTTCCATCCAAATGAAGCTACATTTCTAAATCATTTTCAGACAAATTTGACTACACATGTTAGTGTTGTTAGACCTTGTTGTCTTATATTTTTGTACAGCACTTTGAATTGCTTTGTGTTGAAAGGTGCTATATAAATGCCGAGTGATGATTAATAAATGTCCAAAGTGTCTATTTAGTAGGAAATCCAACCTAGAGCAATTGAGCATTGGAATAGAACATGTTGTTTCATAAGGCCCAATGAGAACAAACACGAGGCAGAATCTAAACAGGAAAGTGTAAAAACATGTTGAATCATTAAACATCTGATAGAACAAGAACAAGACACAATTAGTTTTTGTTTTTCTAAAAACAAAACAATGAGGTAGATACTAGCTGTCATTTTTTTTAAGGAGGGGCAGCTTGGGTGTATTGTTGTACATAGCCGTGGGAACATGTTTCAAATGGGGGGTGCTGTGGGGATGACACCAGGGCCGGTTCTGACCCATTTGCTGCCCTAGGCAAGATTTGTGCTGGTTCATATATATCTTATTTTACCAGTTAACATTTATTTATTTATCCATATTTTTTAATCTCTCCAGTTTTAAAGGATATTGTTGGTTTACTGTCCTATAGTATACATTGGAATGATTTCAAACCTGTTTTTATTTATCCTAATAATTATAAAGGTGTGCCTTGGAAATATTTGTTTACATAAATTGTGATAAAACCGTTTGAGACACACTGAGATAACTTAGACTAAAGTGAACTATCTAAACACTCAGAGTCCTTTACCTCACTGAGCCTCTCAGGGCACATGGAAAATGTAACCGGGGTGAAAAGGGTGTTATCTTTACTTAATTATGAATGTGAACAACCTCTGTCCGCACCGCTGTGCAGGAGATGGGGAGGGAGGGTAGAGAGAGCATCGGAACTTCACAGTCTAATCTCCCGACCTGATGTTTTTATTTTGTATTCAATCAATATATTTGTGTAAAGGGAAACAGCAGTAGATATATATTCATTTATTAAAATTAAAAAAAAGGGGGAAAAAAAGGGCACTTTCTCTGGAAGAAGAAAAAGGGCAGGGGCTCAAGCCCACTTTTGATGTGGCCGTGTAGTGGAAACGCGCCAATTTGGCGCGTTTCCACTACACGGCCTCGCTCGGCCTGGCTCGGTATGGCTAGGCCTCGTTAGGACTGGCTCACTTTATGGCGCATTTCCATTACAGTTTAGGAACTGGGGTAGTATCTATAGTAACGCAGTGTAGGCGGAGCCGTGACGTCATCTTCAATGAGAACCCCAGAAAAACAACACAGCCGTTAGCTGTTAGCACTCAGAGCTCACAGCTCCTCATATATGTTCAGAAACTAGACAAAAGTTAAACAAGTACAAACCACAGACTGCCTGTGTCATGGCGAATACAGTTGCTGCTTTATTTATGTCTGTATAGGCCGTTGTTGTGAGTGTGGACGGTCGGAGCATATACTGCGTTAGCTTAGCCAATCTCCATTTAGAAAACATGCATTTTAAAAGGTTTTTCGCCTGCCGTCTGTCTGCAGACTTGTCAAAGCATTAATTCATGGTTTTTACTAACCGGTATCAGTATGTTGCTACTTCGGCATCATTTTGAAACGTGTATTACAATTAAATCACGGTCAAATATGTCCATCTTGTTGTAGTTGTAGCCCCCTTGCCAGCGATGCTCTCTCTAGTTTAGCATACTCAGCCCGACTCAGCCTCGTTGTCTCTGGCCCTAGACCCACGATTTTATGAGGCCAGAAAAACTGTGAATTAGGACCCGCCGGCCGGTACTAGGCCAAGTGGAAACGCAACCAAAGACGGGCCGCTGACGTCACAGCCCTCTTAAACCGTGCTCCGCGCTGTAGTGGAAACGCGCCAATATGTGTGCACGTGCCTGCATGGGTGGCCTGTTGCCACTTGGCTACATTACATTGTTGGGGTGGATTACCAACCTGGTAGTGGGCAATAGCCCAAGGCTCCCAGACCCCCCGGGTCACCAAATGCCATACATTATATATGTTTCAGTTGGCTTAGTTGTAATTTGATTAATTGTTCTTTTTTGCAGGAATATGCCATCACCTGTTCCAACTGTGTCGTTATGGCTAATCTTCTAGTATAGTTTTGTGCCTGACACAAATTACATGTGCATCAATGCAATCATTTTAGGGATGGAGGTTGTCAATCAAATTAACTTGATAAAAATCAACCATACAAAATGCCCTTAAATAACTAATCCCATCAATATTAGTTATTTGAATTGGCAATAAGCGACAACATAAAAAAAAGTAAGGTCAAATAACAGTTTAAATATTGTTTTATTAATTATTCACCAAAAAGAGAAACTGCAAAAAGAGAGTTATTTTCTATTAATATTGAGCATTAAAAAACCTCACAGCTTTTCTCAAATGAAAAGCAGAAGCTTCTTTGAAGCGTGAGTACAAAAGAAATAAAAGCGCACAGAAATCTTTAAAAATAATGACACATTAAAACAGCTTAACTATTTGAACAGTTGTGAAAGCCATGCAGAAGGGAGAACATATGTTACATTCAGCAAGCTGGAAGCATCAAGGTGTACTGAGGCACATTTTGTACATTTCTTCCACACACTTGAAATAATTAATTACAGTATGTGTTTTTTTTCCGTCAATGATGTTATTGCTGGCTTAGTTTACTTGCAAAGGAAATGATCTCCTAAATACAAAATGTGATTTTAAGAACTGTAAAGGTTAAAAACTAAACTAATTTAATTAGTTTGACTGCAGCAGAATTTGTGCCTATTTTTATAAATAGAAAAATGGCTCTGATCACAAACATGGAACGTTTTTTTTCAGTTATTCCAGAAAACCGGTATTATTAATACCTTAGAGGTACCTTTTTGATAACAATCAACATTAACAGTCGTGGACTTTCAGTTGTTGCTCAGGAAAACCTGCATTTCTGAATGTACTAATGACTCTGATGTGCTTGATGTCTATTGATAATATCAAATAATTTACCTGGCTTTGCTTTATCTATAGGCCTACTATTAGTAAAGTCCGGCAGTGGCTTAGTCTGGCAGTGGCTAAGTCAGTAGGGGCTTGGACTCTGAGCCGTAGGGTCGCCGGTTAAAGTCCCCGACCAGACCTAAATATGGAGTGTGGACTTCTACTTGGAGAGGTCCCAGTTCACCCCCTGCCCTGCCGTGGTGCCCTTGAGCAAGGCACCGGACATCCCCCTTCCCCCCTCACTCCCATTGCTCCCCGGGCGCTGTACAATAGCTGCCCACTGCTCCTAGTACTAGACTCCTGGTACTAGGATGGGTTAAAAGCAGAGAACAAATGTCACTGTGTGTGCTGTGTGCTCTGCATGTGTGACCATCAAAGAGGGTTTCATCCCTCCCAATTCTTCTAAGTGTTCTGTGTGATGGTGTGAATTGAAAATTGAAATTATTAGAGGTTGTTTCTGAGAGGTTTTTGCTGGCAGTTTGTTTTATGCATCTCAGTATTGTGCCTCTGGAGTTCCCAATATACAGACTCTTGTTGTACATATACATATACATATACATAAGCTGTTAACATGTGGTACATCCACAGCAGAGCATTACATTTCAAACAGGGAAACCAGGAAAGGAGATGCCTATTTCGTCTAGGTAAGATGGATTTAACTGTATACCTTTTTGGCAAAAGCTCAACAGAATCATTTGAATGCTGTTTCCATGCCCAGTATGCAGTTAAGAAAGAAAGAGGCACAAGCCAACAGCCTACATCTCTTAATTCATTTCCCTTGACTGTATCTTTTACCTGATTTGGTTACCTTTATTAAATAACATTCTGACAGGCTACTGTCTTCCACATTGGATAGAAAAGTATTTCAAAATATATGTTTTGGTAATGTTTTTCTTTCTTCTCATGATATGGTTACAGGGCAGCATTTGAGTACAAATCATTTAGATTTTCAAGGATCTACGTTCTCCAAAATATAAGTAACTGTTGTTTGCATTACAGCTGTCTTGGGCTAATATTAAAGTGAGCAAAATTGTAACAGACATCTGACTGTCTAGTACAGAGAAGATAGTATCTTTTCAGTAAGTGGGATGACCTTTGGTGCACCAGGCAGACTTTGCGATTGAACTAGAGCATACATTATTACGATAGATCATTCCACATTAACCAAAATACAATTCACACCAAATAAACAGAAAGGTGTGCTCTAGAATTCAGAAAATAATATTTTAAGATAAATGAACATCATAAACAACAGTCTTGGGAAATATAATATAGAATTAAATATTTAAATAGTTTTATACAAGTTTACAAGGCATGTAGCACTGCAGTGACAGAGCTCATTAAGTCACTGTGGGAGCATTAAAACAGCAACAAAAGATCCTTATAGTTTACCACGCAGCATCATTTGACTGATTCTCTTTAGTTAATACATTCAGTATTTTACGTGTCATAGTCATTATTGGGTGTACATCATCATTGGAAGACTGTCTGACTTTTGGAAAATTAACTGACCGATTCCCACACAGCAAGGGATCTTGTAGAAACATACATTTAAAGCAAACTTCAAATAAAGTGACTCCTCTAGATAACTGTTATCCAGCACGCAGTAGCCCAGGTAACTATTAGTTTAGTCAATTGCAGATAATTCTATAACAGAATTAGTCGCTATCAAGTCAAGGTTTGACCATCTTTAAGAATGACAGCAAACCACAAATACCATAATCATTAATTGGCTGATTATTTCAAAAATATTCCCATGTTGAACAAATACTTGATATTTGAAATGCTAAGCATGGTTATTAATTTTCAACCCAAATACTTTTTAACCACTTATTGCCTGAGAGTACACTTGACAAAGCGGCATAATTGCTTTTTTAAGTGAGGGTTTTATTCACAGCATGTGGCCTGTCGTCGCTTTAGTAACAAGAAGACTGCTAACACTTAGGTATAATGTTTAAGTAGCACTATTAACAGATAATCTGTACTATTGAAAACACTATGAGCATTTGGAAGTGCTAGCCATTATGATGCTATACTGAAGAGGACCTGAAGTTGAAATTCAGCATCAAGAGTTTGGAGTCTGGGGTGGAGGAGTCCTGTGCTCTGGGAGCCTAGAAACCTTTCGGTTAATGTTTGGCTGTTTGCTTTCTTCCCTCCATCCTCCCTCTTTTCCTTTCTTCCCGTCTGCTTTCTCCTTATTCTGCCGACACAGTTTCAATGCTCGGGATATAAACACGTCCAGGTCGAAAAGCCGCTCTCTTTGCTTGACAGGTAGTGACTCCAAGGAGTCATCATTTACTGGCTGAGAAATGAAGGAAGTAGAAGAAAGGGGTTGAGATTCTAGGGAAGGAAAAAGTGTCGAGGTGGGAGAAGATAGTGTTTGAGGTGACTGAGGGGGGAGTGGAGAGCTGGGAGATGAGGGGAGAAGTGAGGGGAGGGAATTAGAGGAAGACGTGACAGGAAGAAGTGGGCTCAGTCTATCTTCATCATATTCAGATGATGGTTGCTGCACAACTTCCCCGTAGTGGAAAACTGAAGTTGGGAGGTCAGTCGGGGTGAGAGGGAGAGGGGGAGATGAGACGTAACCCGAAGGTGAACATGGCTCCACAGAAGGACTGGGTGAGTGAAGATGAGACTGGGTGCTTTCCACCCAGCGAGAGATCTCTTGGAATAAATCCCCGGTCTCCTCTTCTTCCTCCTCTACGGCTTCCTCCTCGTTCATCGCTCTCAGGTCCTCCATGCTGCCACTAAGTGGCTCGGAAGGCAAAGGAAGGCTATTGGTGTTACGCTTCCAATGAGACAGATCCAGGATCAGCTTAGGCTCTGAGTAGTGTTGAGGCTTGCCCTCCTTCCAGGCAATTTTATCCAGATAAGAAGGAGAGCCCACTTTGTAGTCACAGGAACGACCACAGTCCAGTTCCCCATACCCCAGACCACAGGCCCGCTCCAGGGAGGAGGGAGAGTTTTCCAGGAAGCGTTCAGCTGAGCTGCTGTGGGAATACTTGCGTGGATCCACCTTTAGAGCACAGATGGTGAGTAGCAGGGGGGAGGGAGAAGGTGAATTGTGTGTTGAACTGCTTTCATTAACTACACACTCTTTTCATTGTGTCATTAATAAATGGTTGTATAAATCAGTCAGTATATGGGAAAAATGAAAGCATATCCAACCTGTGCCTCCTCTATCAGTGCCGTGGAACTGGCCCGGGGGTCTCTCTGCACCTCCTCATCCTCTGTAGTGTCTCCTAGGTCAGAGGTCATGTGGGCAGGGGGCATGCAGCGACACCTCCCGCCCGACAGCTGCCAGGACACATCTGTTGATAAACTGCTCTCATACCTGCAGGAGAGCAGAAATGACTTGTAAAAACATTGCTGGTAAGTACATATTCGGTCCTTTTTACATTAGGAATCTTTAGTAGTTTCTTGAGCTTCAGTTTTATACTATTATTGGCATGTTGGCTCTACGTTTTTATCTTTATCTATTTCTGTAATCTATATAAAATACTAGTGTAAGAAATATAAATGCACACACTTTTCCCAGTGGATGCTGGAGGCCTGACTGTTGCTGTTGCTGAGGCTCTGCTCGGTGACAAGGCTGTCCTCTAGTTCGTCCTCGATGCGGAAGGGATGCGAGGAGGTGGGTTCATCCTCAGGACAGGAGTACTGCTGGAGGAAAGGGTGTGACAGCGCTGCCTCAGCTGTGAGCCGATCCATGGGGTTAAAGGTCAAGATACGCTGAAGGAAGTCCACAGCTGTGAAGAGAAAAGAAAGGGATCAGTGAAGGGAAGAGGATTAATAGAAATCAAATATATGTTCTTCTTAACTTTTATTCATATCCCTCTCTCAGGGCTAATTTATGTAGGTTAGACATTCAAAACTCTACAGGTTACTCTATCGCCTCAACACCCTCACAGTTTAGAAAAGTTAATGTTTGCTGTATCTTTATTTACATATTCAATTTCTCTTGTTTGTCCCTGCTGTATTTTAGTATTGCACCTTGAGCATCCACTTCAGGCAGCAATTCAGAAAAGGGTTTCTTCACTTTCCATCCATGGCTGACATAGGAAGGTATCACCTGGGAAAAAGATGACAGGGGGGTTAAAATATGTGTATAACTCTGTTGTGGTTATATATTTTTGCACATTTCACAGCACCCCCCTAGGTTAATAAAGCTTATTGTAGTTGAAAGCAACACAAAGGCAGGGCCTTAGAGAGAAACATGACATAGATGACCGTATTAATAAAATCAGTTTGCAGACATATGATTAGCAGCAGCCACTGAGGCGTCACCTGTAGCAAGTCCTGCCTGTCCTCCTCTCTCAGCACCGGCACTGTGTCGAGGATCAGCTGCATCTGCTCCAGCTCATGAGCGCCTGGGAGAGAGGGAATCAACCAATCAGAGACAAGCAGAGAAGAGACGAGCATCGGTTACATAAGCAGAAGAAAATGTGACCAATTAGAGTCAAACAGGATCACTTGGTGGTGTGAGCTGTCGAGTGAAATAAATGACAAGGTAAGGGTGTTCAATAAGAAATCTGAAGATAGAATGGAATATGCAGCAGTCTCTTTAATTTAATTTTACTTCAAATCTATGAACAGAAATCACCACTCTAAGAGCCAAATATTCAGACAGAAGAAATCAGATTCTGTAAAGCTCAACTTTTGTCCCTGAATGTGGTGTAGCCAGACATGCAAAATGCTCAAACTTTGCAGGTAATAGCAGAGCTGTAGCTCTCCCCACCCGTGTCGTCATGCAGGGTGGATTTGCCCTTTAAATGTTTCAATCAATCTAATGGGCGCCAGTAGGTGGTGCTATATAAACACACTCACCACTCTGAGTAACAAGCAAGCAGTTGTATTGTATTGGGATGAAAGTGCATTGCTTTCCCTGTCTAAACAAAAAACATGTGACATTTAAAAACTGCTGCTTAAGTATGGCAAACATCTCTCACAGTCCATGTGTGAAATTCTAACAAAGAAGAACACCAGGGAACAGATGACGCTATTGAGTTTATGGCACCATCTCTCCTGTGGTGTAGAGGGCTGCTGGAGGTCAAATCAGCCTGTCAGGAGGAACTACATCTGCTTTAGACAGAGAGAATGTTTCTATCATCATTGTTATTCTGGTCAGGCAAAGAAGGAGTCTGCAGAAAAAGAATAATGTATCTTTGGTGGAGGACACTGTGTACAGGAAAACTCTCCATAGCCCTCACTAGATGCTACTTTGTCTTGTTATTCTTACATTTCTACTAGTAACAACTTTAAATGGCAAAGGACACAGAGGTGTGTTTGAATACAACTGATTTACCGGATTCTATCACTATATTAACTTGAGAAGTCTTGTTTAAGTCTTCAATCTTATTTTGTTTGGTGTTTATTATATCTAAGATGTTAAATAGAGGTGTTTGAGACTCCTATGTTTCTGCTCAATACTAAAAATATCTTTGTATTTCTCCATGCAATCAACAAAAGGATGTGCATAATCAAAATGTTTTTGCAGTACATCAAGGTCATGAGTGTGTTAAAGGACACAGCATGACAAACAGTAGAGGTACCTGCAAACAGCATGCGTCCTGTGAGCATCTCTGCCAGTATGCAGCCAGTGGCCCACATGTCGATGGCCTTGGTATAGTTGTTAGGGGACAGGAGCAGACGGGGGGAACAATACCACTTAGTTACCAGACCCTCAGACAGATAGCCCTGGAGAAGGAATTGAGGGTGTGAGTGAGAAAAAATACAGGGAAAATAGGGAGAGGTAGAGGTAAGTGAAATTAATTATTTACAGTAGGTAAAGAACATTAGTGATGCACATGCAGAGAATTCGCTTGTGAGATGTTCTTAACATTTAGTGTGTACTTGTTAGTCTGCATGCACGTGTCTAATATTTAAAAATGATGATTACAAACTAGTTGGTCGTGTTTTTGTTTGAGCGCGAGCCTCATTAAGTCAGTACGTTCAGCCACAAAAAAAGGAAATGTAAGCTCATATTTTGAGTTACACCCACAAGGCTTGGGTTTTTATGTCAGCTACATGAACAGGCTTCTCGGTACTCTCTGTAGAAAACATTCGCCTTATCTCTACCTTCATTTATGGTGTTTCATTGAGCCTTTGATGCTCTACTTTTTCAACAACACATGTCCTCTCATTACTTCTGCTCCAACAAGGCGCCTGTCTGCTTTTTCTTTTGTAAAAGTTCACCTTGTGAATAATACTGATAATGAGGTGCATGGAGATGAACAGCAGCCACATGTATTCACATACAAACAGGATTTATCTGCTGAGTAATGAGAATGTGCCTGTTGCTATCATTAATGCTCTCGTGGCCTCTTATAAATCACTTCACCTCCCAATCTCTTTAATAGCTACATTCTCTGACCTTACAACATCTCAACATCCCTGCACTTACTACATGATATTTCCATTATTTTCCTGTCCATGAATCTCTCTTCAGCCAATTTTCACTGCTCTGAGCTCTTAAACTGATACAGTATGAAGACTATAGACTGCAGAACAATCCTAAGATTTAGGCTTACATATTCTTACACATTTGTATATTTCTGGAGGCTGCAAGCTAGTTTCATGCTGTCTGTGGACATATAAAGGTAACTTCCTTCCTGCTGACATACTATTTGTATCACTCTTATCCCCAAAGAAAACAAGATTTCTGTGTTTAAAAAAAGCGGCCCCACAATTTGTCTTCTGTCTTTTTCTCCCTCCATTCTTTGTCCTCGCTGCACTTCTTCCCTTCTGTTCTCCCATCACCACTTTTCTTAAATCGTGTTTTTTCAGGCCACCAGAGTAACATCTCTCATATACTTCTAAACCATATCTTGAATGAGTTGGAATTAAACAGCATTATTGAGTTGCTGTGAAAAAGGAGATATGAATTGAAGTTCAGTTTTACTTCGCTCTTCTTCAGCCTTTCTGTTTTCTCTTTGCTCCTCCTGTGTGTCCTCTCCTCTCATTTCAATCCTCTTTGCCCCTGTATCATGTGTAGCCTTATCTTTATGCTCTCTATTCCCTGTCTTCTGCCCTCACTTCACCTTTCGCACTCCCTCCCCTTCCCCTCCAGGCTCTCCCTCATTGCTGCCAGGAGATGACAGAGCAGAAACTGATGCTGAGTGTTCAATGATGCACACACCTTGCCTTCTATCTGTCTGTCCCTCTGTTTGGATGACTCTCTCTATCCCACTTATTATTTGATGGACAGTGTCTTTCAAGGAATGTGTCAAAAGTACAACATTTTGTAGAATGTAATTGTATTTGATGATAATTCATCTGATCCGAAAAATAAGCAAATGTAGGTCTCAGTTTCAAAGAATTATGCACAGATGTGCCCTCACCTTTCATTATGTAACTATATTAAGACTGAGTTTAGCACACAGCTATTCCCCATTATGAAATGTTTGTTGGACTTCTTTACCCCTTCCCTTTTCTCTCATCCTTCTCCCCTCTTGTCACCACCTCCCACTTGCCTCTCCATCCATTCCCTTAATCTCAACTCATTGTTTCTCTACGTCAGCATCATCAGCTTTGACTGTCACTTCTTTTTTTCTTCACACTTCACCCCATCTCTCTCTTTTCGCCCACATCCTTTCTTCTCCTCCTTTATCACCTGTTCCATCCCTCGCTCAGTTCTTGTCAGTTCCACTTTACTCATTTGGACCTGTCTACTCCTACTCCTACTGCCCTCTGCCTCACTTCTTTATCTTTCATCCATTTATTTCTCTTTCTTTTCCAACACTTTCCCCTTTTCACCTTTCCCCTCCGTCTTTCTCCTTTATCCAGGTCATGAATCATTTCTAGGCAGATCCAGTGCCGCCATAAACACTTCAAGGTGCTACTTGTGTTGACGGTAAACAACATCACCAATTATCTTTTCTCTGCCTCTGTTTCCCTTCTCTCTTTTTGCCTGTATAAATGTTTGTCTGTGTTGTCAGAGGACCGCATTTAGAGCGATTGTCAAACAGCATTTGAAGCACTGTAGAGTCAGAGTGTGCTGACAAAGCATCTGTTATTACACACAGACCATGTTACTGATAAAAGATAGGAGTGATTTCTTTGGAGCAATTATTATAAACCATACAATCTGAGCCACCAGCTATGTTTTATGGCCAAACATGAAAGTGAAAACTATCTGTCGCTTTCACATCACAGTTGGAGTAAATACTGAACACGTCTATTCTCACAAAAATGTTTTAAAAAGCAGTGATTTGGTTCTGCATTATTAAATAACAGAGAGGAGGCTAGCACATTCACTGCAGGCATCTGCTTTGGTGTGAACACTGCATCACAAATAACCCAGCCTTATCTTACACACACATTGCCATACACACAGGCACATACACACACATAACTCTGGTGACAGACACATCAGCTGGAGCAGACTCTTCATATCCAACTCAGAACAATCAAAGCCACGTCAGCAGTTTCAAATTAGAGTGTAATGTGCAGCCAGCACTCTCATTGTTTAATAATGCATCCCCATAATCAAAGCTTTGAGGCAACGTCTGCAAAGGAAGAGGCTCATATTGCAGCACCCGACAAGGGAAAAAAATACATAATATATCCGGAAGAGCTCAAAGTACTTGGTGTTGAATAGTCCATTTATGCATTCATTTGTTCATGTATCCATTCATCTATCAATCTATCTTTATATCCATCCATCCATTCATCTATCTACCTAGTGGCAGTGGGTTGGCTGAGCATTTTCTGTAGCTACACAGTGTGAGAGCTATATGCACCTAAACACAGAAAGGGGAACAGAGTGAGAGTTTCTGCTGTCATGCAAGACCCAAACCATCTTCATCGCTCTTACTTTTTCTCTCTTTGATATCTTATTTGTACCGATTTTCCCTATCATTCCTATTTGCACTTTCTCTCACCCTTCTTTTTTTTTTGCCGTTTTTCTGCCCTGACTGCATTGTTCTTTTCACCTCCCCTCCTTTCACCCTTCCATGACTTATCATTTCTCATCCTTGCTCCTCATCTGTTCTCTTCCTACCCCCCTCCTCCCCTCAATCTAAACCCCCTGTGTCTGCACCCAGCTGATCCCCAGTCCCGTGCTCTGAGCTGACAAAGATCGCTTTTCACAAGAGCTCCTCTCCCTCTCCACATGCACAGACCCGAAGAACACACACACACACACACACACGCACACGCACACGCACACGCACACGCACACGCACACGCACACGCACACGCACACGCACACGCACACACACACACACACACACACACACACACACACACACACACACACACACACACACACACACAGTCCTGCCCTGCTAGTGTTACAGTATTGCTGTGGGATCTTCGTGCATAATAAAGCAGCACCATGGGGCGGTAAATGGTCACATCCATCTCTCAGAAGCCTTTATCTACAGTGGACAGGCTAATCACAGGGTTTGATTTGCACAACACTTGATACCAGGTTTGGGGAAGAATATGTTAATAGTAACAGGTATGGTAATAAAAGATGCAAGTATAGGATAAAGGAGACAGCTTGGCAGTGCTGCTATAGCAATATGTAGAATCCTAGTGTAGCGGTTACACATTTTTAAATGTCAAGTTTGAAATATTGTATTCTGTTTGGATTCAGCCAGCTAGTGTTGATCTTTGTCAGCATCTGACCAATGAAGTATAAGATGTCACCTAAGATAACGCACACACCAGACAGACAACAATTATTCTGTTTTTCAATCAACCTGCTGATATTCTACGGGAGGAAAATCCCAGTTTATAGAGTATCCTTTGCCACACTAGTGCAAGGGCTTGTGCACGGCTGTCTGACTATCACACTTTCTCTTCCTTCATTGAGAGTGAGCAGCGATAATGTTTAATATTAAAATATTCCTGGATTCATCTATCCTCAGCAGAGCAGCCCACACTATGTCAGACTGCAATGAGAAGATTGAAAATCCTCCTCATTTTATCAACTTTGCTGGCTTGAATATGAACAGTCTGATTAATTTTTGTAAAAATATTAAAAAAGCACAGAGACAAAAAACACAGCCAATATTAGGTGGACAGAGATCATAACTTGTATCCTGGCTTGTCTTCTGAAGATTATGGCTTTATAAAAATTATCGAAACTTGTTGAGAGATCAGGAGGCTTAAGAGAGTAATGATCAAAGGCATTTATTGGCTCTCCTCAAAAGAACACTTGGCACACTTGCCACATCTACATGTCCTACGTAGATCCAAAGAGTAATAAGCTAATAGCTGGAAATATGTGTACAAGTGTTGCTGATTTTAGAAACTTCCAGTGAATATTTCATCTTTGATCATCAGTCACAGACTTTTCATTAAAAAAGCGTGAGTGTAAATGTCCCTGCAGTTGGCCTATGTGTGTGTGGGTGTGTGTGTGGTAGGGTTTATTCTTCTCTTACCTTATGAGAATAATGCGGGTCGACTATCCTGGCCAGTCCGAAGTCTCCAATCTTGAGCAGCAGTTGGTCTGTGTTGAGGAAGATGTTGGCAGGCTTCAGGTCTCTGTGCAGGACGTTAGCTGAGTGAATGAACTTCAGTCCCCTCAGCAGCTGGTAGAACAGCAGAGTAGCATGACCTGTTTAAGGGAAAAGGCTCAGATATCAGGAAACACCACACCACTTCTCTTTTCAGTCTTTAATTTCCATAACGATGCTTACTTCTAGACTTAGTGAATATGCTTCATTATGTGTTATTGTGTACAACTTGTATGGATAGCTTCTCTACAATTTAAATAATTTAAATCACAAAAGGAATAAGGGGAATATTCAACGAAAAAGCACATTTTGTGGAATCATTTCCTATGGGCAACACTGTTTTGGCACATAAAGTCAAAAAGCAATTGCATCACTCAAATAGTTACAAAACATGTTTATTTAGAGGATACAAACAAGCTGAAAGAACGATTCAAAATGTTCTGGGCAGGATTGTACTGTGACTTGTGGATAAAACACTATCTCAGTAAAAGAGTGTCTCAAAAGGACAGCGACTAATCCAATAATTCGCAGTGTAAACAAAGCCAGCAGTGCTGCAGAAACAGAACAGTAGTGTTTCAACAAACTGTGAAATCGGGTTTAGGAACATCAAATGTCGTTTCTTTTTTAAACTTTCATCTTTCCATTTCCTTTGTATTTCCCATACCTGTGGGTAGTGGTCCTTGTTCTAGCAGTCGAGCCAGATCTGTCTCCATGCACTCTTGCACGATGTACAGGGCACTCAGCTGGGTCGGGTCTCTGGGCAGCGGTCGTCCATACGGCGCCAAAACCTCGTGAACACTCACCACGTTTTCATGGAGCAGCCGGCGGGTGATTTTGACCTCCCGCAGAGCATGCTTCACCGTCACAGCATCGCGCATCACCAACTTTTTGATTGCCACGCGCTGGCCGGTGCGCTCATCAACAGCTGAGAGGACCAGGCCTGTTACACCTGTGCCGAGAGGTCGAAGGTCAACAAAGTGACCACCCAGGTCAAAACCATGAAGGAAGAGGGGGGTCTCTTGTCTAGCCATGATAGCTTCGTCTGCCGGTGTTAGGGACAGATGATAGATGGTTGTATGTACTTTTAAATAGCTTGATGGATCCCCAAAATATCACATTTAAAGGTGCTTTGGTTTATATTGTGCACATTAACTGACGAGTTGATATTTAGTTGTGTAGCTGGTGCATCTAGATGTCCGTTATCTTGTAGAAAATATCCAAATTAAGTAGTCTGCTAAAAGGTAGTGGCAGTTTGAGGGGCACCCATATGTTCCAGTAGGGTTACTTATTCCAGATTTGGGTCCAGAATTTGGAACTGAACCAAGAATTGCAAGCCGGTTAAAAGAAACACAATTTTTCCTTCAGGCCTACAAAGTGTCTTTGTGCATAATCTTCACCTCCTCTGCTGGTCCTGTGTGGGCAGATTATTTTACTGTAGCAGCTGAGAATCCACTATGTTCCACATTAAAAAACAACCTATGAGGTTAGTACGTGCTTAATAAAACTAAAATGTACTTTTTCCTCATGACACTTGATGAAGATGTCTCTCTGTTCCAAAGATGTGATGTGACGCTGTGCTCTGCTGGCAGGGATGCACTTCTAATCTCTCACTGCATTTTGTTCTTGCGCAGATAGTAAGGATGTCAGTGAGTCCTATTAACACTACCCAGGGCAGGGGTATCCATAGAAACAGCCCTCTGTGTGGCTGATCCTGCTTTTACATGTGTAGATGCATCATGGGACAGCAGCAGGAGGACAGCCAGTAATCCTCATCGATCAGTCTTCGATACTGAGGTAGGAGGTAGGAGGAAGGAGGCAGGGTTAGGTGAGTTAAATCAATTCTGTCAGCTCCTCCTCTTGTTCCATGATACCAGAGTCAGTCAGTCCGTCAGACAGACAGTCAGTCAGTCAGTAAGTTCATTCAGTGTGAGATCCACAGTTGGAGGGTGGTCAAATCCCAGAGCTGTGGTACTGTTGCATGTGTTTAATCCCTCAGTAATCTGCTTCCTGTTGCCTTCTGATGAATGTAAGGGGTTTCAGCATCAGGTCGTGGTCACTGTGGAGAGATAATGCTATTAGCTGAGTCGCGTAACAAATCTGCTGCTGAGGATGAAAAGAGGCGAACAGAAGAAAAGCTAAATATGAAAGTAACAGAGGAACAGAGCCAGTGTGATAACAGGGTCTGTGTTGCAGGAGAGTTGCCATTACATAACACTAAATGGCAGAGTAACCTAATCTACAACCTAACGTGCCCTAGAGAGGATAATAACATCTATTCAGTGACGCCTTAATATCTGCTATGTGATGCTGTTGACATTTCAAGCAGAGAGACACTCACAAGATGAAGTGGATTACCATGGCAGCATTGTTTTCAGTGATAAGCCATTTCATTTTCTGATGGCATCACACAGCATAACTTTCTGATTAGACGTGAATAAAGCTAGCCGACAACTGAGTTCTATACCCACAACTTCAAAGGTCATATAGTGGTAGAAAACAAAGGATTGGCTTTCTCACACCCCTGGATCCCAGGGATGCAAGAATTCAAACAATCCATAAAACACATATCTTTGCTGTTAAAGGCCTGAGGGCATGTTTGCTTTTCTTTCTAGACGGGGGGATGTGCACTCAATAACTTCTCTTTAACAGCCTTCAACTTAATTACAAACACACTCCATGTCCATGTGAGCCTCGGTCAGGCAGATAGTCAGAGGCTGACAGCGTGTAAACTGAGAACAGAGGATGGGAGAGAGGGAGCGTTGACAGTGTTGCTGGGTGGGAGGCGCATCGCTGGGCTAACTTTATATATAATGCATAACCACTGGAGATGGCACTGTGCCTTTATTCTGCACATTTCTTCAGCTTATGCAACCAGAATACATGTCATAAATACAGATAGTTTGCCGTTTGTTGATGCAATGCAGTAAAATGCATTTAATTGCAATTGTGAAGTCTATTGTCAACATTTTTTTAAATGTAACACTGGCTTAAAAAAAATATTTGAATTCAGGTTAAGGCAGAAAATGAAACCAAACTCTACACAATACAATATGATGTGGTGATGGCAGATGAGAGGGTAACTAACACATCACTCTGGCTTTGTGTAGCTGCTTTTGTGTCCCTTATTGTTATCTTCCTCGTTTTACTCCCCAACAACAGGCGTTAATGTAGTTACAGTTCAGATGGAAAACACTGCATCCTCTCTGCACACTGACTTCATGCGGCTGCCTTTGTGTGTCCCCACAGTAACGCCCCTCTGACAGAACAAAAACAGTGAGGTTGAAGTGCATCTAATAACTACATAAAGCTCTATTTAAAATAAGAAAATGAAAGTAAACCAACGACAACCAGACTCGAGCTCCTTTTAGCTCCTCAACCAGCGTCCCGCTATCTTCATCTCTATGCAGTATCTGTTCGCTGTGCAATAACAAGAGGAAGAAGAAAGAAAGATAACAGCAGCAACCAGCGGTACTCACCGGGGCTTTTACGCAGCCGCAGCCTGCCGTCCAGAAACAAAGATCGGGGGAACAGATGTAAGAGATACGGGTCCCTCGGAGGAAAGAAAGTGAAACACGACCGGATCTCTCTTTTGTGTCCCTGTGATTCAGATGATATGGGGGGGGGGGGGCGGCCGGTACGGGTCGGCACCGGGGAGATCCGCCGAGATAAGATAAGCCACAGGAACTGCTATAGAGCCGGTTATTGTGGGAGACTGTCCTCTCTCCGTCAGGGGAGAGAGTTGAGAGAGGGAGGAGAGGAGGGATCACCCAGATCAGATAGCAAACATGTAGCAGACCTGAGAGTGGACACACTGCACCATGACTGACTGAGTATCTCTCTCTCTTTCTCTCTGGATGCTGAATTCATTGGTCTCCATTTCAACTTGTGAAGAAAAAAAGCTAAATATTCCAATCAATTTAAATTAAAGCCCAAACCAGCCTCCATCTTGTTCTAGCTGAATTATTATTGTTTGATCATTATAGTAATCTGCAACCCGCAATGTGTTTGTTTTTGAGGTTCCCCTAGCCATTGTGTTGTGTTCGAAAGCTGTTACCGCTCATGGTGTTCGAGGGTCAATTTTGACCCATGATTTATCTCAGTCCAGAACACTCAAAAATAATGACTATCATCCAATATTGTTTTAATTACATCATAACTAACTTATAATGCATTCATAACCGTACAATCTTGTTGTAATTGTATGGCCCCAAAACACATTACACCACATTATTGCACACGTGCATGTGTGTGTTCAGGTTCAAGTGTTAGTGTACATATTCTTTGAGTAAGGTCGAGTTCCCGTGGGGAGGGGGGCAGAGGGATGGGAGACGAGGTGCATGTTGCGAAAAATATATTGTTACAGTGGTTGAAGGGGGTGGGGGTGGGGTGTCTAAAGTCAAAGATGAATCTTGATTGGGCCAAAATTGACCCTGAGTCACCCACAACAATGCTGCTGGGTCTTCCTAAACCTTTTTTATTTAGAGACCTTCAGGCTTGGCTAAAATTGTCAAAATCAGTTTTGTAGTGTTTATATAGCTGTTGTGGAGGATATCATGAAGAGCCTTGTTCCGATAAAAAAAACTAGAGCGTAGTTATTATATAATTTTAACTTGAAACGGGTCACGGGAGACCCGAACACAACATAAGGGCTAGAGAAGAAGATGTAGATTCGTGAAAGGATTGTACAGCTATACAAACAATTGGTGAAATTAAACATTTGAACTTATATTGGTCAATATAGGCCTACTGGTTTTATATATTCCTAGTTTTTTCATATTCAGCTCTGAGAGTCATTTTGTGATCAGTTTGTCTTTTCTACTTTGCAGATAGCACTTCAGGCAAACCAATGGAACCCTTTGTGAACTTGATGAACTATGGGTTTTTGGCCCTTGTGGGGGTGTATGTTTACAAAGCCTGTGGTTAGTCTATCCTTATTACAGAGAATAAACATATCACAGTTACTTATTTCATTGTTAAGTTGAATAACATTCATCTGTCTGCATCTTAGAAATTATTTATCTAATATATCATATTCCAATTACTTGTATATAGACCTTGCACTATTTATATTCTATTTTATTTGTGTTACTTGCACTAATTGAACTATGTTGTCTGTTTTATTATGTTGCACCGTTGGAGGAGCCTGTGACCTAAACATTTAATTGATATATCCAGGACCGTCCCTGGCCAACTTGAGGCCCCACGCAAAGTTATATGATGAGGCCCTCTGTTTCGCGACCGTCGACGGGGACGGGTGCTAGTGGAGCCTCGCAGTAGCGAAACCATGCCGCTCCACACTATTTGCGCCGCATAAGCGCATAGGTGCGCCGCATTTGAGAGGCCCCCTCCACAAGATGAGGCCCCCTCCGCAAGATGAGGCCCCCTCCGCGAGGTGAGGCCCCCTCCGCAAGGTGAGGCCCCACGCAGTCTGCGTGATCGGCCTGTAGGGAGGGACGGCCCTGGATATATCTACACTGTACCTATGTACAAATGACAATAAAAGCCTTGAATCTTGAATTGTACAATAGTGATGCAGAAATCTGATGAATACTCTGCTAAATGCAAAAAATGAGATGCTTGGTCAGTGGTTCCTTTGTGACTATAGAGGGGGGGGGGGGGGGCTGTAATCAGAGTGCTGTTGCTGTTTAGTACAAAATAAAGTAACCCAAACAACAACCGTTGATGTACATTATATGCTTTAAAGAAAAGCTTATTGGATTTAAAGCCACTCTACATCTTTACTAATAGAATATCCTGCTTAATCTGAGGTCTGTACTTAATACGATTGTTGGTGGGATTTAAATATATGCACAGCTAGTTACACACATATATTTTTTGTTATTATAGAGCAGATTTAATTGCACTACATTTGAATCTGCTCCGAGTTATTTTGGTCTGTGTTGCAGGTGAATGTCTGCTCCTTCTCCTGGGTGTCAAGTATAGATAAAACAGATTATAAGCGGAATGTAGTGAAGAGGAAATTGTAAAATACTTGTGTTGCTGTTACGTAAAATCTTTTTAAAATGTTTTTATTTGGTAACAGGGCAGCTACCAGAACATGTAATAAAGACAATTTTGCAAGGAAAGATGATCTGTTCTTTTGAAGACTGCACCCTATTGTATCAGCTATAGGTGAAATGTACCCAAACCTCTTAATAGCACTTTTGAGTAATTTGGGACATCTGTGAGTTACATTTCCTGGAACTATTTCCAAGGGTGGATTAACATTATTTTATATGGACTTCAAATGCAAGCTAAAGGCAGGAGGAGAGTCATTAGCCACTGAAGATTAGCCAAGCTAGATACAAATCACTGGCATCTTTATAATAACACTGCTCAAAAGACTGAAAAGAAGCAGAACAATTGAAGTATAAAGGAAGAGCGAATATCAGTCAAGCACTTGGATGTGATCTATTTCTGCCTTTTCTAATTAACACCGATAGTATCTGACAAATAGAGACATCACAGTGTCAGCAGTGGGTGGCTACAAACACACACACACACACACACACACACACACACACACACACACACACACACACACACACACACACACACACACACACACACACACACACACACACACACACACACACACACACACACACACACACACACACACACACACACACACACCTGCTGACAACGTGTGGTTATGATTGTGTCGTGCAAAGAAAGGTGAAAGTGAGAAATCCAAATAACAAAATGTTGACACCCTACTAGTTCTCTCTTTGTTTCATAAAAAGGTTCAAGAAGTCCATATTATCTACCTGGCAATTCAGTTCAAAAGCAAACGGTTTGGGGTAAGCAGGGTTGTTCTGCTGCTTGTTTGATGTCAAATATTGCAGATGTGGAACGATACAAATAAACCCAGGAATGAATCTAGTATTAGAAATGTGACGTGAAGGAATTCTCGGGTCAAGAGTCATCAGATCTCTGAACAGACACACAGAAAGCAACTGTCCGTCTATCTCTGGCACATTGTGAGCAGCAGCATTGTGTGTGTGTCCTCCTCAGATTACCTCCCTCCAATAGATCCCTGTCTAAGTAGGAAAGGAAATAAATAACTTAGAGGTCAGGCTGAATGTGACAACATCTGGCTAAGTCTGCCTGTTGGTATGTAATTAATGTTTTTCAATATATGTAAGGCCAGGGAGAGAAAGACGAGGGCACATCTGTAGGTGTGCAAAGATGACTCATAAGGGAATAGCAACACTGCACGAACAAGCGGTTCTTACCCCAGTGAATTCAACACATTTCAGTTATTTTTTTTACCGTAAGGCTGAACACAGTAGATGTTAAAAATGAGCGAAGCCCAATGATATCTCAGTATTATTATCTTGGAAACATTTTAAAAATACACTTTGTTGTTTTTAAGTATTAGGTCCACCTAATGTGTTTCAGGAAGCCTACAAAAAACAGTTATATAATATTGAAAAGAGTGGGGGCATCAGGGTTATTTCAAAGTTTGTTCAGACTTAAGACTAAAATAAGCAATGTAAAAATAATTGACGCTCTTTTTAATTGACATAACCCACAAGCAATCACCCCTCTGTTCCATATAGAGCAGGCTGACAATGTTTGAAAACAGAAGCTAATAATGAATAAAGATTTTCTTAATTTATGTTCCTGCATTATTGACTGGCAATTTATTTCAAAAGACAGCTACTCTGTTCAGATTCATTTTTTATTATTTACAGAATAAGAGCCAAATCGTCCTTGCTGCACCACCTGAATTCAAAAGTTAACACTTCAGAAAGAAGAGAGCTAGGGGAGGTCAGAAAAACATGAGCACAGCACAGAAACAGTTGGGTGGTCCTGGTAGGTAATAGAGATGCAAATACACCTCAAATGTAAAAAAAAAGGAAGAAAGAAAAGATAATACATTTGTAGAGAATTATGCATGACAAGAGAGGGAAGTCATACACAGAGAGATTAACAGACATGTGAGTGAAAGAAAGAAGCGATAAAACAGACAGCTTTGGGAAAGAAGCTGACAAGGTTATCTAGCCGAGTGTGTGCTGACAGTCCTCAGAGGACGGGCCTGTCCAAATGTCAACACAGACCGGAGCAGAGAAAATGCACTGAATAAGATATGCAGCAGAGATACAAGAGGTGGACGAACTGAGACAGGGCAGTGGGGTCATTCACATCAACTGAGGCCATTAATACTGTCCCAAAACACAGAACTATTATAATAAATACTAAAGATGTAATGAAACTCCAGTATAACAACTGTCATTAAAGTTTTTCATTTGAAATCTAAATTATTGTCTCTTTAAACTCTGAAACATCTGAAATTCGTATTGTTACCAGTGTTTGAAAACATATTTTCAACATATTTTCTGCATTTAATTTATTAATATAATATGTCATTTCTCTTCTACTGCTTCTATATGGAGAACATAAGAGTGTTTTGTTTTGCCTCTGTGACCACGGGAAGTGCTGGATGGACTCAGTAGGATTCTTTATCACCGCCTGCAGGATTTCCTTTATTACTGCAACTACACACACAGCAGCAACAAACCTGATAAAGCACCAACAAATAAACATTTGTTTTAAGGAACAGGGACTGGAAAACAGGAAAACTTAGCTTGATACATAGCTGGTTTGAATGTGTACTTAATGAAAAAAAAGTCAAGGGTACTTTACATTTTAATGGTTGGAATCAGTTATATGACAGCCTCATCAACAGCTGACCAATTCTGTAACCTGTGCTGTAAGGATCAATGACTATGATGAACCTAGACATGCGTTTACGTTCTCATATATCTTTTTGAACAGTAAGGCTTATGTAAGATAAACACTCCTAGCTTGCGTATGTCTACGGAAATAAGGGCCTCTTTATCAGCAGAGTCAGGAGGTAAAAGGGGAGAGATAACCACTGTGCGACATGTTTCATATGATGTTCCAAATGCAAACTGCAATACTGGTCTAGTGCAATACTGGTCTAGTGCAAAATAACCAGCTTTTTGAAAATAACCTAGAAAGGCGTTTTTGCATAACAATGACTATAGGATTAGACACAACTGTGTCCCCAAAATTCCATAGTTACATGTAGTATATGTGCGAAACGGTAAAATCTTTGAAAACTATTTAAAAATTACAGGATGTCAAAAACACACAAAAAACAGGGAATACAAGGCAACAATAATGTGATAATGTGAACTCCACACAACACTAAAGTACTGTGAAATGTTCACCTTTTTAATTTAGAAATATAATAAACACAACCAACGTCATGCTATGTAGAACTGTCACGTAATCCAAAACAGTTAACTGACCTTATATTTAAATATATATATACTGTATTCAGTTGGCTATAAATATTGCATCCCTAAATAAGGCATTACACCGCTGTGCTTTCATAATCACAAAAGGTTAAAATATAGTTTAAAGCCCTTAGTCACCATCATTTCAAAGAATGATACAGTAGTTGGGCTGAGACACTATAAGACCTTGGGCTGCTCAAGCATGAAGACGCCTTCATCATTACAAGGGAGAGAAATTTAGAACTTAGAAGCCACTTTAAGCAAAATTATTTCACAAGTCCAAGAATATATTTGTGTTTAAATGCTCTTGAGGGATCCCCTTTATGTTGAGAAAAGTTCTGCCAGTTATCTATTCTTCATATGCCATTATTACTATTTTTACAGTTATTTGCCTGGATGTGGACGTGCACTGCTGAGTGAGTGATCAGCAAACCTAGTCTAGTAAAAGAGGTGGTTGGTGGTTGCAGGAAGTGGTTCAGGCATACAGAGGCTGGTAGCCACTCCTCCGGTTGTCAGTTTTACAGGTGATCACACACACGCTCAGCATGCCAAAGAACTGCAACGGGAAACATAAAGACAATCAGACTCATTCGCTTCAAGTGTATTCTGGAGGTCCAACTGTTATGTCATTGGACAAGCTCAAGTACTATAATTGCTATATTTTAACTATTTCTTTAACATATCACACAGTTAGAGCTTAGATAGCAATTTGCATTGTGATAACAGTGAGTGGTATTTAAAGTAAAGCTCTTTCACAGCTGCTGAACTGTATGTGACCGCCTTTACCTTGATGATGGCGACGCCCAGAATGACAAGCATGGCGTAACTCAAGACGTCCTGCAGGAGCTGATCCAGCTTCCTCTCACAGCCCTGAAACACATGCAAGTACAGTGAGTGATCACATCCTGCACACACACTTTGTAAAATGTCTGCCTGAAATATTGCCTCAGAGGTGGGCGTTAATAATAATACAAATAAAATCATTCCATAAAAGATCATTCCTGTCTACAAATCGTTTTAAAGTGGCAGATGGAAAAACATTAATGCAGTTATAACAAATATACCGCTTCTGTAAGATGTACCTGTGTGTTCAGCAGGTCTGGTTGGTCCATTCTGCCTGTGCACTGCGATGTTCCGTTTTTACAGCAGGACAGAGGCACGGTGTTGTTGTGGCTGTTAGACCAGGTGGTATTGGACCAGCTGGTGTAATTCATGACACCACAGCACTGCAACTGGAGAGAGAGAAAGTGAACATACAAGAGGTAAGGTATTTAATTTAAGTTAAATACAAAGAACAGGAAAGCTTGACACTATATCATCAACCTTATGTCTGAGCCAGTAGTGGTGGGCTACAGAGGGGATGTGTGAAGACTTTTTTTCTCATTAGGTCGGCTTGATTTTTGTGATCATACACCGTGACATCGATATACAGTACTAATACAAATACATCACCATACTAAGATTTTGCTGTTATGGTTTTGAGATGGCCTTTTTCTTAAAAGTCCAGCAAGAAAAAAAAGGGGCAAATTGAAGAACAAGAGAAGGAAACGAAAGCAAGCATGCAAGATAGAGTGCAAGCAAAACAGGAAGAGGTTAAAGTGAATGAAAATACAACTGAGAAAAAGCTAAGCTAAATATACACAGTAGAATATAACACCAACCTGAGTCTGCAGGTAGTGAACAGCTTTGGTCTCAGTAGTCTGTCCATCATAATGCACAAAGACTTCACTCATAGAGCGCTCCAGGTCTGCGTTTATCTGGACACACACAGACACAAGGTTGGTGGCCATGTTCAGAAGTAACATAGCAAATTTAAAATAGAGATGAAATTCTGAGTATAGTTTACTGTCAGCACCAAGCATTGTGTGACGCAATCTGTGACTTACCTTGCCTTTGTAGATAAAGCTAAACACCAGAGCAGCCACTTCAGCGGCAAAGATCGCCATGATGATCAGAAAAAACTGGAGGGGAAGAAGATGAAAGAAGGTGTGATGAATATAAGTGGGTAAAAAAGAGTGATGGGATCAACAAAAGCTAAAATGGTAGCTAACATTATAATAAGTTTGCCTTCAGACACTAAAGCTAAGCAGGCAGTTGAAGAGCCTGACAAACAAACGTGTGTCCGTGAAGAGAGAGCACTTACAAAGCTGAGTCCGACTTTGGACTCCCGGAGTGTAGCGCAGCATCCAACCAGGCCAAAAATAAACATCACCACGCTGACGCCGATGATAATAGCGGCTGGGACCAGCGTGTACTTGTCCTGGATGAAACTGCCAAAGTTGTCATTGCTCTTGATTACATAGGCTCCGACGTAGGCCAACACCGCTCCTGCAGCCTGCGGGGAAACATGTAACACATCAAGGTGGGGAGCATAAACACTTAACATGCATATCAGAATGGTTCCTTATCACATATGATCACTAACAAGTCATTTAAGAGTAAGCTAAACTAATGTAAGATTTATTTATTATGTCATCTAATTATCCCTAGACCCTTTTTTTCTATGTTTGATATCGAGTAGTTGGTATTCCGGGAATAATACAACCTCAGTATACTCAGACTAAGCTACTGCAAACACAAGGTCCTGCAGAAACAAACACTTTGATAGAATTCAAGCGATTTGTGACATAATGTGTGTTTCTAAGATGATAATGATGCTTTAGATGAGAGTGCCAGCTGAAAAACTGCCAACATCTAAAAAGAAGAAACCTTCCTTTCATGAATAGCGATATAACATTTGAGTTTGTTCGTTTAGTTTGATTCTATCACCACAACATGGTTAGTTAAAGAAAAACAGGAAGCAGAACAGCCTGGATCAGCCCTTTGTTCAAACGCTATAACAAATAAAATAGATGTTTTGCCTTTATTATCTGCTGGGGTCTCATGTGATGAACACCCGATGTGAAAGTCATTGATGGTCTTTCAGATGTGGATTAGGCATTAGGTCACACCATAATCATGGCTTTTCTTCAAGTCATGTTTGAGCAGTGAGCTAATCAATCATAGGACTGTACATGGGCCAATTGTGTCCAGACTGTACTGCAGTATCACATTGGGTGTGTAAAACTGGTTTCTAATTTTATTGTAGAATAACACAATTCTGTTTTCTGTATCTGGTCTAAAAATAAAAGTTGAGAAGGTCAATACAAAACAAAAACTTCAAGAACAGAGAATGTAAATAAAAAATCAATGGCTCTAAAGTATTAATCTTATCACCAGCACTCTTCACTTCCCTTTGCCCTTTGAAACCCTGTATCAGATTACATTCAGACTCTAGTCAGTGATGAAAGAAAGCCAGCAGTATGGGAGAAATTGCAAAAAACTAAATCTGCTGAGTGACGAACACTATATATTAAATAACACTTCAAAATCTCAACTGAAATTAACTAGAATAATATATAGCTGCTTTTATACACAGCAGGAAGATGAGAATATATAACATTTCCTTTGATAGATGGAAAATGTCTGGCGAAAAGACGTTGCAACTGTGCTTTATGCTGAAAGTCAAAAATCCCCTGCATGTGCCATTCTCAGTATCACTTCCCCTGCAATAACTTGGGTTAAAGATTGTGTACTTGTCTTTGTTTGTACGTGAGCAACTGAGCATGTGTGTTTTGTGCGGCCTAACAATCATTGAACCTCCACTTCGGCCTCATGACTCACTGCTCCTAATCACTCCACAGTCACGAGATCGCTGTGGGGTAGTTTCTCTACCCCCTTCCCCACCTCCACCACTCACCCCTAATCTTTTCAGAAATTCTGATCTTGTTTCTAAGAAGCAGCACAAAGAGGATTATACAACGTATAGCCTCCTTTCTGGAATGTGAGAAACCTCTGAGGCTTGATTGTAGCTTGACAAATGTACTAGAACGGTCTCAAAGATCACAACAAAAACTTGAGGGGGGGGAGGATTGGTAGCCTACAGTGTGTTCAGCTGCATAGTATAATTCTGTAAAGACAGACCTACCAATGGTACAGTTCATTACATTACATTACATTGCATTTAGCTGACGCTTTTATCCAAAGCGACTTACAATAAGTGCATTCGACCAGGAAGATACAAACTTGAAGAAAACAGAATCATATAAGTACATCAGGTTTCATAGAGCCAAAACATTTCAAGTGCTACTCAACTAGCTTTAGATAAGCCAGTCCTTTATTAGTATAAGTGCTTTGTTAGAAATTCTTTGTTAGTAATTCTATCGCTCGAAGTGGAGTCGAAAGAGATGAGTTTTCAGTCTGCGCCGGAAGATGTGTAGGCTTTCTGCTGTCCTGATTTCAATGGGGAGCTCATTCCAGTTCAGAAGGAATATTTGATTTTTGTTTTAAAAGGAAATAAAATCCTCCGAAAGCGTCCGTTATGCCCACATTCATCTTGTTCCAAATGTGTGCTTGCTCATAGTTCAAAGCAGCACTGTTGATACCCTTTATTCAGTAATCAGATCAGTGATGATAATGAAGCTCATTATGAAAGCAATGACACCAGAAACAACCAAACAAAAAACACTCTTCTTGTTGTTGACCGAGATAAACCATGCTTCTGTTTCCCTTTGAAATACACACACAGGCCAGTTCTCTGACTCAATAATCAAATTACCTAGACATCTGCGAAAGACAGGCACTAAAGTGTACTGGTTCCCCTCAACACTCATTTCCTCTGACAGACAGAGGAGAGCTGACAGCTGGGCAGAGACATGGTGAATATGATGATCCAACAAGATATGCAAACTTTGAAAATGAGTCAGAGTTCCAGCTGACTGGCTGGCTGCGTGACATTATTACGGAAAATATGGTCAGTAGGCCTACCACTCTCTGGAACTATTACTAATATCCTTTAAGGAATCATGTGACTTCATAACAAATTACCTACGCAGATGTGAACCACATACAGTACAAATGAGGAAGTACAGTTTAGTGATGGCGACTGCAGTGGCTAGAAAACGGGCTACCAGGATGTTTACTCAAGTCACAACTCTGATTTGTAGGATGGAAACCTTAAAGCGCAGGAGGAACTGACTACTAAATAATAACAAATAGCGATGTTTGACAGAAAGGGCAAAACACATAATGTCGCAAAGCCAATAAACTGGTTTGTTAACTAAAATGTGAGTAGGTGGATATAATTCAGCGCCTTACCCAGAATACCAGGCTGAGGAAGAGCAGGACGGTCTTGGAGGTGAAGATCCCGCAGTCCATGTTGAGCGACGGAGGTGCAGAGAGTGAAGGAAGGCTGGGAGTCCGGGTACACTTGTTATCTCACAGGGCGCCGAGCTGCTTCTCCTGATGTTTTGGTCACAAGTTTCCTCGCTCTGTCTGGCTGCAGTGACTCTGATCACATGGTCACATGCTTCGGGGAGGAGAGCGATGCAACACAACCGGTTCAAGCGCGCTCACCGCTCAGCCCCCTGCAGGGAGGCTGCGTCACACCACTCCCTCAACTAGAGGGGAACAGTCCCGCACAGAAATATAGCCTAAAACCAAATAATGTTCAGTAAGGTAATGTGATAATTAAAACTGAATGTATTGTTTAGTATTGCTGTTTTTTAAATTGTGGTTTGAGCACTTGGAAAACATATTGAGTAACATGTTAATATTGAGTAACAAAATATATGTTGATCTTATCTTTATCTCAATTAATATGCTTTAGGATTTACATTAATGTGAACATATTTTAATCCAGTTTTTGGAAATAAGACTATGAATGCACCCCCCACTTAGATATTATTATTCTGAAGTCAATAATGAGGCTGTCATGAATCTGTAAACTCATTCAAACGGATCCTCAGCAGTTAACAGCAAATGATATCCCTTGGCCCTTTTGAAACAGAAAGAGAGTAGGCTACTGTTGAGATACAGCACAGGGGACCTTAGGCCAATAAACAATGGTTGTATTAACTCTGCTTCTGTTGGTTGTATGTTTTATGCCTCGGCTGAATTACAGTACAAGGGGTTAATAGTAATGATTAAATCCAATTACATGTTACTCTGGAGTGAGGAGCACATTATATAGGAACATCTGCTCTTGGGAACATGAGGGCACTTTTTAAAATCACAACACTTTAACAGTTTCGGTTACTCTTTGCTTAAGGAAGTAAAAGTTCTGCTTTAATCAAAGAGACAGTCAAAACAAAATCCAATCTGTATGCAGAGTATGATAATGAAGGTAAACTGACTTTCCACTGATAAGCTATTTAACCCTTCTCTTGCGTTAGGTCATACCCCCCTTCCCATACTATTTTCGGTCAAAATTGACCGGTGTGTTTTGCACAGTGATATCTCTGGAACCCCTTATCCAATTTTGATCATTTCAACAGTCAAAGCAAGTAGAATCAAGGGGTGACAGACAGGAAGACACCAGGGGTGAATTTCATGTTATAATTGTGCAGTAAGTTCAAAGATAGTGCTTACTGTACATTAGTGTATATTATAAAAATGCTTGCCATGTAGGCTGTGTTTACTGGAGATGGAAATGCTTTAGTTGGTGTTGTAGCTGAGATTCTTCCCGTTCCAATGCTGTATGGGATGTATTGATTTGATACAAGCAAGTCATTGTTTCATTGTGTAGGCTACTTTCAACTACAGTATATGGTCCGGACCCACCGGTGGGCCCATCAAGTTCAGCATTCACTGCATTCACTGTGATCAGTGGCGGCCACCCCCCCTCTTCCCACATTAAAAATTAAAAAAATTAAAAAAATTAAAAAATATATATTTAAAAAATATATATATATATATATATATATATATATTTTTTTTTTAATAAACAAGGTAAATATGATATAATTGGTATCAGTAAAATGTATAATCTACAATAAAATCTCGTTTAAAATTGTGTTACGATGTCTAAAGTTACTGATAAGTCACATGTTTCCTGCCTGGCCTTGCCCGTGTATCATTACTCCCTCTCGTCTGGGCGCTATGCACAGCGCCCAGACGAGAGTGCAGAAAGTGCAGCAGAAGCCAACTGTTGCTATCTTTAAACTATGCCGCCGAAACATAATTTCAGCCAATCAGCGTCGTCAAATCTGATAGTCACAGGGCTCCTACGTGAGCGCCCGGTGCAGTCTGTGAGTTGTTTGTACTCGTATCCAAGGAGACAAAACAGGAAGCTGTCATACACTCTGGAAGCTACCATTAGCAGCTAAGGAAAACTCCGTTTTTGACATAAAAATGGAATTATGGATCATCAATCATTTTTCAAAGTGACAGACACATTGGATTAACCTATGGATTAACCTTCAGCTGCGTTTTTCTCGTTTTTGATCAGAATTGTTATTCTGCAAAAGGTGAGCATATCTCCATGTTTTGCTACCTAAAGCTACGTGTGTGATGTCTGTATTTGCTTCCCCCTGTCGGGAGTTCTGATCGCTCAGTGATGATACTTATATTTCTAGAATTTGTGGAATCTCAGCTTGTAGCTTGTTTGTGCATATCGATAAGTATATCGATTGATTATAACCTAGAGTGCATTAGCATTTTTTCGCATCAGGGCTGAAGTTATTGAGAGGTATTAGAGGAGAGAGAGAGAGAGAGAGAGAGAGAGATAGAGAGAGAGAGCGAGAGAAGAGAGAGAGTTCTAAAGCGAGATAGAGAGATAGAGTCGAGAGATAGAGAGAAGATTCAGATCTATCGAGAGCTCTTCACTGCTATACTCTCTTCGAGCTCTCGCGCTCTCTCTCCTTCGCTCTCTCCTCGCGCTCGGTCTCTTCTTCTCTCAGAGCGAGAGAGAGAGAGAGAGAGAGAAAGAAAGAAAGAAAGAAAGAACACGCACACACTGCGAGAGAGAAAACATTGCGAGAAAGTGAGAGGTTCCCGTAACTTGCCAGCAGCCAATAAAACACCTAAGAAGAAGAGAAAGGTTAAGAGCCCCAAGAAAGCACCGAGGCCGACTGCGGCTAAAAAAAACCCCAATGAAGGTAAAACGCAGGGTTGTCAAGTACACCAGGACCAAGTCCGCTGCCAGGAAGTGAAACCTGAACACTGAATGCGATGTTTACCTCGTCTAACATGGACCAACATTCTGCATTCATTTCATAAAACACTGAACCTGACACAGGTGTCTCTGTCATGATCTGCCATGGTTTGTAAAGATTTGAATAGCAATTGTAGAACATGATAAACATGCTTTAATATAGAGTGTATTGTGTGGTTTTATTTCACTAACTAATCTGTTGCATAAAATAAACTGAGGAAAAGCTGAATTAACTGTTCACCGTTGAGTCTCCATCATATGGGGAGCAGTAACTGAGTGAAGACGTGTTAGATTTCGGAGAAAGCCTAGATTCACTTGATTCAAAGGGACGCAGTAGACGCGCGAAACGATTGGAATGGCGCTTTTACGCACTGTTACGCACATGGACCACGGAGTCCAACCCTTTCTATTCACACACATTTAATCACCAGTGTTTGTTGTAATGCAGGCACAAACAGTCGTTGTTTTCACAAGTTATTCTGTACAAAACATGTTCATGTGTCTGTACAAAACGCTGCCTGATTCAGCAATTGAGTTTTGTCGCGAAAATATGCTGAATAGAGATGGTTGAAAAATAACCTGGACGCGAATCGTCCATTTGTAACGTTTTAGTTTGTTTTCTTCTCGCCAATTTGAAGATTGATTGATATCAGCAGATATAGGCTGCTTATAACACAGCAGCTGGTGACTCCCCAGCTGCTTGCCAAATGCAGCTAATCTTCACTGACAACGGGCATGACAAGTCGTGTTCGAGTCTTTCTTATCTCCTGCAGAAAAAAACACATGATGCCAGCCAGGGTTCACCGCGGGAGAAGAGATTACCCAGTCCCGCGGTTAAGTATAACCATATAGTACCGTAGTCATCTTTATAATATAATTTAGGATTTAGTGATTACTCTCTTTGATTGAGTTGGGGACAATTACAGATTAGCAGATGGATGGTGTTCAGCTAATGAGTCAAACAAATAAAAAGTACACAACTCATTGCCGTTTTGATATAAAGTAGCCTACTGATGAAGTAGTAGATCAAGTGTAATACATGTTGTGTGCAATGTGGTGACTCGCACAGCTGTAGAGTTGAGCAGCTTTATGGCTTGTGTTGCCATCTACTGGTCAGACTCAGTAATCATTTATGCTCTGCAGAGGAAGCAGGGAAGGCCTGGCAAGGTTCAGGTCAGTTTTCATTCGTGTTATACTTACTGTAACAAGAAGAATGTGGTAACCGTAGAAAATCTGAAAAGATCTGTACATAATCCGTCAAATGAAATGATATTGTGCGATATATATATATATATATATATATATATATATATATATATATATACATAGAAATTAAGGTTGAAAGATGAAAATGTTTTGAAGATGATTCATAGAAAAACACTGATTATCTAAACGAGCACATAATTGAGTTTGGCTATTATGAACACTAAAATATAAATTTGCACTCAATTGAAAACATCAAAGCAGTAGGATAATAAACGGTGTAGTATACAACAAATAATTATGACGTACTAATACAAATGTCATGTAAACACGTTTTAAAACAGGATCTCTTACATTTGACTTGCATTGGTATTTTAATATTTGTAATCATTTTTTTCACTGCCAAGAGTAATTTTTTATATATAGTGTGTAGTTTAGTTTGTTTTGTATTCCTCTTAGTCTTAACATGAATTTCCAGAGGTGGTGCTTGGTAGGGGTTGTGTCACAGAAGTGTGACATTGATTTATAACATGTCACATATTAGACCAATATTAAAGACATTTAGAAAATAATGAAGTTTCCTACTTAATATAGAACAGAATATTTATTTTTACTAATATTGCTCCAAATAAATAGTGCATTTATTGTTATCTGATGTTTGGTTTATTCCTATGTACTGTTTTTCCTTTTAACCTAGGCTCAGACTTGTGACTCAGACTGTGAAATTCTAAGGACATTTCCAGTGATGTACCCTCATGTGACAAACATGTCAAAAAACATTGCCACTTCCTTTTAATTGTTGCTTTCATATCTCTTTTTAAAAAAGAGGAACTCTGTAAAGAAAATAAGATTTAAAGTTCCTGTTTGTCATATGATAAAGGGGGTCAGAGAGGAGGAACCTGGCTGTACCTTATAGTCAGTTGTCTGACCCGTTAGGACACAGTCACCATGAAGGTATCAGCCAGCCTCCTGGCTCTCTCTCTCCTTCAGGTCTGCTCTGCAGTCCCCATCGGCCGCCCCACCAACTGGCTCAGACAATGTCGTGCCACCACCAACCTCTCTGTCCCAGCACTGGAGGTGCTGCCAGGCGGAGGCTGGGACAATCTCCGAAACATGGATACAGGTCGAGTCATGAACATCAGCTACTTCCAGTGCCAAACCACCGAGGACGGGCTCTACCTAATCCCAGATGAGGTGTTTGTCATCCCCAGAAGGAGACGGGTGTGGAGACCAGCTCAGAGATCATCAGCTCCTGGCTGGAGCAGAAGAGCTCTACATCTCACAGCATTAATGCAGACATGTCTTTCCTATCTGCGCTAAATGGAAAATTCTCAAAAGAGAACCAAAGGATGAAAACCCACCAGGTCAAAGATTCTTCAACAACAACCAGAGTGCAAGTAAGTTTCTATTGTCATGGTTTTAATTAGTTGAATAAAAAGCACTAGATGTTACGGTGGCGGTTATGAATGAAACAGATATAATAATTATTTCACCATCATAGAATTTCTTTTTTTAAAAACATTACTTGATGGCTATTTTTTCAACTGTAATTCTGGACAGATTTTACAAATGTTACCCCTCAAAAATATGAATAGTAATTGAATAAGTTGAAATAAATACCAACTTAATATGTTGTCTTTTTCTTCAAAGGTTCGTAACTTCATCTACACAGTAAAGGTTTATCCTGACTTCACTCTGGATGCACGTTTTGCTCAACAAGCCAAAGAAATAGCCGATGCAATTGAAAACAACCAAACAAGAAACGCAGACTACCTCTCAGAGAGGATGGTGCTGGACTATGGGACCCATGTTATCACTAGTGTTGACGCTGGGGCCACTTTGGTGCAGGAAGACTACCTCCGTTCTTCATATGTGTCAGACAATTTGTCAGAAAGTTCCTCTGTCAAAGCGCAGGCAGGCCTAAACTTTTTTGACAAACTCAAGTTTGACATAAGCAGCCAAAATACCCAGCAAAGCTCTTCACTTCAAACATATCAGTCCAATATTCAGTACTCTCTTATCCAAAGCCATGGTGGCGGCACACCTTTCTATCCTGGCATCACTCTGCAGAAGTGGCAGGAAAGTACCAGGAACAACCTGGTTGCTATTGATCGGTCTGGATTCCCCTTACACTACTTTATAAACACCAACACCTTCCCTGATCTGCCTCAGCCTACAGTTGGTAAAGTGGCCATTGCAGTGAGTCAGGCCGTAGAGCGATACTTCAAGGTCAACACACGGCCCGGGTGCGTCGACGTCAACTCTAAGAACTTTAACTTCCAAGCCAACATTGATGATGCATCATGTGAGGGCCCTGCTACAAACCTCAGTTTTGGAGGTGTCTACCAAGAGTGTGTTCATCTCAGCTCAGACGCAGGTCCACTATGTGATGCCCTGGCCCATAAAAACCCTGACACAGGGGATTTCTCCTGTCGTTCACCTTACACGGCCACCTTACTGAGGTCAGAAGTCAGACAGCAGGGCTACAAGACCTACGATTGCTATGACCAAAGCCATAGGTGTAACCTTTTTTTTACTTGCCATCGGCAAGTTTGTCAGGACAATTACCACGTTCGCTCTGCTCGCATCAACACTTACTGGTGCTCTGTTAGCGGGAAGGCCCCAGAAAACTCAGGCTATCTGTTTGGAGGCATATATAGCCCCTCTCTCCTGAACCCCCTCACCAAAGCCAAAAGCTGCCCCCCAAACTTCATCCCATTAAATGTTCTCTCGGATGGCCAAGTGATCTGTGTGAGTCATGATTATGAAACTGGCACCAGGTACTCTGTGCCATTCGGAGGTCTCTTCAGTTGTCAGTCAAACAACCCGCTGGCAGGGGGTCAACATCGCTGCCCTCCTAAATTCAGCCAGCACCTCGCATCAGTGAGCGACGGCTGTGAGATTCTTTACTGTGTCCAGTCAGGCCTGTTTACAGATGGGGAGCTGCTTCCGGTCCGTCTGCCTCCTTTCACCAAACCTCCACTTGTCAGCATGCAGCAAACAAACACAGTTATGGTCATGACTGAAGGAGAGAAGAGCTGGGTCAGAATAGGGCAGACTAAGGCGTGGAAACTGGCCAACACAGAGGAAATCAAAGAATTTGTTCAGAAGCTTAATCCAGAATTGAATCAGGTGTCTAGTGGTGAAAAGGCAGGGATAGTCTTTGGGGTGATTGGTATGATGGTGCTGGGGATAGTGGCAGTTGTTCTGGTGAGGAAAAGGAGGAGGTTGTCTGGGTTTAGGACAGCTACAGGCTATCAGGAAATACATAGTGAGATTAATTGTGCTGAAGGAGAGAGGGACACACAGCAGGAGGCTTGAGATAAACACACGTTAAAGGCTTGGCAGACAAGCAAGGGAAATTTGGTGTGACTTTCTTTTTTTACTTTCTTTTCAGTTCTCACCTCAGGTATCACTTTCATCCTTTTTACAATGATTCAATACTGCCCTCAAAAGGGACGAGACGCATTACAGTATGTCATGTAGTATATAAACATTGTTAAACCCCATTTAGGAAGCTGTATGCTTTGTATAATGTTTTTCATTGTTGTACCATTTATAAAACATGTTGTCTATACATATTTTTGAACAGATAATTGTTTAAGATAATCTAAAGGCCTTTTTTATCCAATATATAAATACAAGGACTATTACATATAGGATTTATTATGTACTGTACTTAACTTTCGTATCATGCTATTGAAATTGTAAGTATTCATAAATGTCAGTTAAACTTGTCTACACTGCACTTCACTACTAATAAAAGTGGCACAAAACAATGTTTGTTTTGGTCTGTCTGTTAAGGTAAGAAAAACCCTTAATTCTCTAAATATACGTTGGTCAGGAGTTACTAAAACAAAGAAATGTAAATTTAAAGAATAATGTTGAAACAACAGTTCAGTTCAACACATAGTTAGTACAAACTAACTAAAATAACATGTAAACAAGTTGGGAACTGAGATGTATTTTACAGTATTAAAAACTGGATTTCTAACATTTCACTTGCACTGTTATATTTAAATTGTTATTGATGTATATGATAAACTCAAGAAAATTATGTTTTTTTTATTAAGGTTTATTAGGGTGTAGTTTTTGTTTTGTTTTGTAATCCTCTCAGTCTTAAGATGTATTGCCAGAGGTGGTGCGTGGGGGTGAGATCAGATTAGTGTGAACATTGTTGATTTATACCATGTCACATTTTAAGCCAATAACAAAGAACTTTAATATATAGCTATAGTTTCCTAGGTTATATAAAACTGAATATTTATTGTGTTCCTCATATTGCTCCAAATGAATAGTGCATTTAATGTATCTGATTCTAGGTTCATACATGTTACTGCTTTCCTCCAGGCTTGGCTGTTTGCTTTGCTGTTGCCTGGTGACTTGATGTCAGTCTACATTCCCAGGATATTTACAGTGAAGTTCACTCATGTGACTGTTCACAAACATGTGAAAAACACTGCCACTTCCTTTTAATTATATCTTGTTTTCATGTCTGCTTTCTGTTCCCTTTAATAAGGTTTTGTGAAGAAAATAACTTTACCCTACAAGTATTTTAACTATGTGAAACATTGAATTTATCAACCAAAGCAGTGTACCTTTAAGGTCAGTTGGGTTGCTGTTGTTAAGCCTAAGTTTTGTTTTGATCAAGTTGATACTGAAGGCAGATCTCGTGACATGGTCTACCTGGACACATTTGTTTCACTTTCACAGGAGTTCCAGACACTCCCTTATTGTCGCACTTACAAATGGCCTGATCCTAAGGGCACATGGAAAATAAGTTTCATTCCTTGATATATGCATATCAGGGAGTTTAGTTTTTTCTCCATTGTTCGATGTTAATAATGTGCCTGTATTATTTTTATTATTTATTACTCTGTACCAAAAATCACCCCTTTGGAAATGTAAACAATTTTCAAAGTCTAAGGTCTGAGAAATCCCATCTTTAAATAACCTGAACAATTATTTAACATAAATCACAGTAATTGCAGTATATGAAACATATGTTATTGCCTCTTGTTGTAGGTTTTAACATTTATTTTGTATGTGTTTTTTAAACCGTAAAGTTGTATTTCAATTGAGAATAAGCTTGGTAATAATTTAGGAAGAACATCCCGATTTAATCACATTTTGTAATTTTTTTGTTAAATAGCACGCTTAAATATTCTTTGGGGTAAAACCAAAAGGCACACTTACAAACAAAAGTAAAATGTAATTTTCACCCAACCGGTTCTTAAACATGTTTGTCATATGATAAAGGGCGTCAGAGAGGAGGAACCTGGCTGTACCTTATAGTCAGTTGTCTCACCTGTTAGGACACAGTCACCATGAAGGTATCAGCCAGCCTCCTGGCTCTCTCTCTCCTTCAGGTCTGCTCTGCAGTCCCCATCGGCCGCCCCACCAACTGGCTCAGACAATGTCGTGCCACCACCTCTGTCTCTGTCCCAGCACTGGAGGTGCTGCCGGGCGGAGGCTGGGACAATCTCCGAAACATGGATACAGGTCGAGTCATGAACATCAGCTACTTCCAGTGCCAAACCACCGAGGACGGGCTCTACCTAATCCCAGATGAGGTGTTTGTCATCCCCCAGAAGGAGACGGGTGTGGAGACCAGCTCAGAGATCATCAGCTCCTGGCTGGAGCAGAAGAGCTCTACATCTCACAGCATTAATGCAGACATATCTTTCCTATCTGCGCTAAATGGAAAATTCTCAAAAGAGAACCAAAGGATGAAAACCCACCAGGTCAAAGATTCTTCAACAACAACCAGAGTGCAAGTAAGTTTCTATTGTCATGGTTTTAATTAGTTGAATAAAAAGCACTAGATGTTACGGCGGCGGTTATGAATGAAACAGATATAATAATTGTTTCACCATCATAGAATTTCTTTTTTTAAAAACATTACTTAAAATCTGCAAGTGTGAGACAGATGGCTATTTTTTCAACTGTAATTCTGGACAGATTTTACAAATGTTACCCCTCAAAAATATGAATAGTAATTGAATAAGTTGAAATAAATACCAACTTAATATGTTGTCTTTTTCTTCAAAGGTTCGTAACTTCATCTACACAGTAAAGGTTTATCCTGACTTCACTCTGGATGCACGTTTTGCTCAACAAGCCAAAGAAATAGCATATGCAATTGAAAACAACCAAACAAGAAACGCACAATACCTCTCAGAGAGGATGGTGCTGGACTATGGGACCCATGTTATCACTAGTGTTGACGCTGGGGCCACTTTGGTGCAGGAAGACTACCTCCGTTCTTCATATGTGTCAGACCATTTGTCAGAAAGTTCCTCTGTCAAAGCGCAGGCAGGCTTAAACTTTTTTGACAAACTCAAGTTTGACATAAGCAGCCAAAATACCCAGCAAAACTCTTCACTTCAAACATATCAGTCCAATATTCAGTACTCTCTTATCCAAAGCCATGGTGGCGGCACACCTTTCTATCCTGGCATCACTCTGCAGAAGTGGCAGGAAAGTACCAGGAACAACCTGGTTGCTATTGATCGGTCTGGATTCCCCTTACACTACTTTATAAACACCAACACCTTCCCTGATCTGCCTCAGCCTACAGTTGGTAAAGTGGCCATTGCAGTGAGTCAGGCCGTAGAGCGATACTACAAGGTCAACACGCGGCCCGGGTGCGTCGACGTCAACTCTAAGAACTTTAACTTCCAAGCCAACATTGATGATGCATCATGTGAGGGCCCTGCTACAAACCTCAGTTTTGGAGGTGTCTACCAAGAGTGTGTTCATCTCAGCTCAGACGCAGGTCCACTATGTGATGCCCTGGCCCATAAAAACCCTGACACAGGGAATTTTTCCTGTCATTCACCTTACACGGCCACCTTACTGAGGTCAGAAGTCAGACAGCAGGGCTACAAGACCTACGATTGCTATGACCAAAGCTATTCGTGTAAACTTATTTTTACTTGTTATCGGCAAGTTTGTCAGGACAATTACCACGTTCGCTCTGCTCGCATCAACACTTACTGGTGCTCTGTTAGCGAGAAGGCCCCAGAGAACTCAGGGTATCTGTTTGGAGGCATATATAGCCCCTCTCTCCTGAACCCCCTCACCAAAGCCAAAAGCTGCCCCCCAAACTTCATCCCATTACATTTTCTCTCGGATGGCCAAGTGATCTGTGTGAGTCATGATTATGAAACTGGCACCAGGCACTCGGTGCCATTCGGAGGTCTCTTCAGTTGTCAGTCAAACAACCCGCTGGCAGGGGGTCAACATCGCTGCCCTCCTAAGTTCAGCCAGCACCTCGCATCAGTGAGCGACGGCTGTGAGATTCTTTACTGTGTCCAGTCAGGCCTGTTTACAGATGGGGAGCTGCTTCCGGTCCGTCTGCCTCCTTTCACCAAACCTCCACTTGTCAGCATGCAGGCAACAAACATGGTTATGGTCATGACTGAAGGAGAGAAGAGCTGGGTCAGAGTACGGCAGACTAAGGCGTGGAAACTGGCCAACACAGAGGAAATCAAAGAATTTGTTCAGAAGCTTAACCCAGAATTGAATCAGGTGTCTAGTGGTGAAAAGGCAGGGATAGCATTTGGGGTGATTGGTAGTTTATTTCTGCTGGGGACATTGGCAGTAGTTCTGGTGAGAAGAAGGTCTCGGTACTGAAGGAGGAGAGAGGGACACACAGCAGGAGGCTTAAGATAAACACACAAAGTTTAAAGGCTTGGCACCTAGAGGTGCCGGTTAATCTGGTCCGACTAATTAAATGTTTTACTTTTTTCAATTCTCACCTGAGAAATCACTTTCATCCTTTTTACATAATCGGGAAATTATCCAATGTTTAAGGGCTTCCTGTTTGAATCAGTTGGACTGTGTTTTAATTATTACTCTTTTGATATGCTAGAAAACCATTTAGTAATTCACATAAGTATGTCATATAAACAACTGCTAAGGACTGTAAATGTAATAGTTCTCAAAATTCATAAACATTTTTGGGAATGTTTTAATCATAAGTAAGCATTTTTGCATTTTCTACAAAAAACAATGTCATATTATGTTGGATCCGGATGGAAAGTAACATGAGACTCCAGACCCTTTCTTTTGAAACACTATCCAAAGTGTACAGTGAATCAGTACTGCCCTCTTAAGGACGAGATGCAAAATGTCATGTAGTAAATAACATTTAGGAACCCGTCTGCTTTATATGACTTTGAACCTTGTAACATTTATAATAAACAAGTATATCCTTTACAGATACTTGGTAAACATGTTTTGGGGGATTTCTTCTTTATTATTTAAATAAAAGAAAGATTAGATTCAGGTTTTTTTTAGCTTCTCTGTAATTTCTGTATCATGTTACTGAAATTGTGAGGATTTACGAATGTCAGTTAAACTTGTCTACAATGCACTTACTAATAAAAAAGTGGCACAAAACCATTACATGAATATATTTCTTAATGTTTGTATTATGCTTTGTATATCTGTTGTGGTGGGAATTTATTTATCAAATGTGAATAGAGAATCAAACCATTCAGCTGTCTTTGTCGTATTTGATTTGTTGCAAGAAAGTTCAGTCAGTCATACAGAGAGCATACAGTCTGCAGTGAAAGACCAAGAATAGAGTTTGGGTTGCATATTTAAACACAGAGAGAAGACAAAGGGAGGGGTGAAGCTTGGTGATAATGAATGGAGCATTCTGGAAGTTTAGGGAGGTAGGGAGGCCATATGGGGGCTCAGTGGAATAGTGCGCTGAACTTAGTGCGCTGAACTTAGTGCGCTGAACTTTGAATCAGGGGATAGCAAGTTCGAGTCCCACTGCAGTCAGCATGTCGTTGTGTCCCTGGGCAAGACACTTCACCCCAAATTGTTCCTGTGGGGATTGTCCACAGTACTGAATGTATGTAAGTCGCTTTGGATAAAAGCATCTAACAAGTGACATGTAATAATAATATCAGGATGTTCTCAGTTCAACTGGTGCACATGGAGTGTAACTAACAACATTGCAACACATCTTCTTAATAAGGAATTTCCCCAAGCTTAGCTAAGAAGTGTGAGAAGTAGTAAATATAGATAAACATTAGCAAATAAGAATCACACAATTATATTATTTAAGTAAGCAAGTATAATATTTTTCTATTACACTGTTCATGTAAGAAAAATTATCTAACAAATACCTTGGTCAGGGGTTAGTGAAACAAAATAATACACCTTTTAATAGAGCTGTTTAACAAGCTTGCATCTTTTTTTATGTTGCACGCTTAACATACGGAGCTATATCTCCTAAATAAATGTTCATTATGCAACATAGGCTTGCATGAGGAAAATACAGTTGCAGCCTAATTCGTTGTGCCACACACAGAAAACATGACTAAACACAACAGAACAAAAACACATGCACAACAAACAACATGCAACAGTCTCAGTTGAAATGAACTCACACTCTTGAAGCATGCATAAGCCTGTAAACTGCACATACTGATTCTCTAAATAGAAAAACATTGAATAAAACCTCCGGCACAGAGCGCAAAGAAACACGGTTATCTTCCCTGAGAAAACGCAAACATTCCACCCACATCCAAAAACAGACAATGGCACGGCTGACCTCACACTGTTGGTCAGGTTATCCGCACATAGACAGGACAGCTCAGACATTATACACACAAAAACAGTCACTTCAACAGACAGACACACATGCACGAACATACACATAGCCATTTCCCGTAATAAGTGCTTATCCTAGTGTCCTTTCTTTTCTCTCGTGACTACACACAACTCTCCCTCCCCCTCACATGCACTTGCACACATGCACAATAGCATATGTACACTCACAGACACACAGACAGCTGTGCAGGATTCAAAGAGCTGGGTCATGAACATAAAAACAAACCCACTCATGCTGAGGAAATTGTTAAGGCCTGGGGAGAAAGAGAGAGAGAGAAAGAGGGACAGAGAGCGGGACACAACTCTGAAGCAGGGTAACTCCCTCCTTGGTCTTTTTCATAAGGCGTAGGACGGACAAAAGAGTGCACCCAGCAGGCTTTCAGCACGGGCAGTAAAGCCAAAGCTCTCTCAACCGGGATTTCATTTCCAGCAGGATCAAGAGTTTAGTCAGTTTGCAGTTCATCTTTTACAGTGAGCTGCACCACCAATTGGGTTAGTAAAAAGAAGGAGACACAACAAATGTGTTTTTTTGGCTGTTAAAATCTGGGGAGGACTTTCAGTAGACAGAGAAACCTACAGAGTGAAAGCTCCCAAAAGACGACACGGACAATCTGAAGGGCGATACATATAATACAGTCCAAGGTAAGGCTACATGTCTATGTTGTGTTGTACAGTACGTCTTTGTTGTGCATGTTTTTTTGGAGTCGACACCCAACATCTGTGGGAGGATTACTCCAGTTTTTAAAGCAGAGAGGATTAGAACCATATCTGCATTTAGTGTGTAACACATAATTCTGCAACTATTCAGCAGTCGGTTCACTGACAAACCTGGGGAGATTGTTTTTTAATGCCAGACAAAACTTGCTGCTTGTTTCCTGTTAAAGGGAGTATTTCATAGCAGAGAAGTCATCTCTAAAATGCACACTTTAACCACTACTTTCTCACTTTGAACACGTTGCCTTTATTTATACAGTCTATGGTCGATACCTTTAGGCAACCATGCACGCTGGAAGATACCACCGGAGCGACATCCTCCTGTTTACATTGGCTTTACTGGTCCTGTTGGGGGTGTGCAGCATCCGGGGCTGTCGTATAGGCTCAGGCTCAGAGTGTGAGAAGGCCCCTTTTGTCCCGGGCCACAACTTGGCTGGAGAGGGTTTTGATGTGGTGCGGATGCGTCGAACTGGGGCATACGTCATCAATGTCAAAGCTCATCTGGCCGACAACCACACCTGTACACTGTGTCCAAACCGCTTCCAAGACGGACAGGTGAAAACCCCCAAACTCAGCCTTCTCTTTTTAATGGCGTCTTCAATCAATCTCAATTCATTTCACCTAATTCTTACCAATAACTCTCTTGTGTTCCTTCTTCCCTGTGCTGTACCCATCATCCTGCCTTCTCTCTCCTCCTCAGATTCAGAGGCTCCCAGCTGCAGTGCTCGACTGGCGTCCCTTCAGCCGCTGCAGTAAGCAGCTTTCCAGTGCCCTCCACCACTCTGTGGAATCCCTGCTGCGCAGCTCCAACTCACTGGTTAACAACAACTGGGGCCTGGGTCTAAGTTTAGATAATATTGGCAAGGCAGTGCTGGGAGGAAGCCGCTCAGACTTGGCAAAGTTTGCTCGTTCGCAGCACAATGTGGACAAGGCCACGTTTGCCACCCATGAAATCAGTTGCACCTACTACAGGTAAAGAGAAGGGAGGCTGGTTAAACTGGTGCTTAGTAAGTATATGCAATTTGATGATGATTTGTAAATACCTGGATTCATTCATATGCAGCAAGGCCAGTAGCCAAATTAGTATTACAGTAAATGCAATCTGCAGATACTAGCTTTTAATGTTTTTCCTGTATTTATAGAAGGCAAATATATGTTTTCCATATACACTGTAGGGCAAAGATGTGTGCAGATGTTTTTTTTGTTTTTCTTTAAATAGACTTTAGATTAAAGTCTTGTGTTATGGTTGAACTGCACATGCCTTTTGTTTTTTCAGCTACAGGCTGGCTGATCACCCCCAGCTGAGTGCAGAGTTCACAAAGCATCTAAAGAGACTCCCACAGAGCTTGAATACGACCAAGAACAGAGCCCTATATAGACGGCTGATAGACACCTATGGAACACACTACATACACCAGGTCAGTGGAGAACAGTGTTCTTTTTCTGTCTTGGTACTTGTGCTGCAGAATGTCTTTTCAAAGAAATTGCAAATACTGCTGAAGATAAGGATGCAGGGTGGATATGATGAACATTTTCATATTTGTTCCGTCTCCTAGGTCCAGCTTGGTGGCAAGGTGAGGCGAATCACTGCCTTCAGGACCTGCCTGGCCACTCTGAAAGGGTTCTCTGAGTCCGACATCAAAAACTGCCTGAACTTTGAACTCCGAATGGCTCTAGGTTTCCTCCCTGGCAATGTATCCTTATCCAACAAGTGCGATAACCTCCTGAAGGGTAACATGAGTATGGGCTTCTACCAAGGCTTCATGACCCATAAGATTGAGGTTATCGGAGGGGAGAGGTACTTCCCCGACATCCTCTACCAGGAGGACCCATCTGAAGCGTACCAGAGCTGGATGAACAGCCTCCACGATAATCCAGACGTAGTTTCTTACGCCATCTTCCCCCTGCATCATCTGGTGGATGACTCACAGATCAGTGATAATCTGAGAGGCCTTGTCACAGAGTATATTAAAGATAACCAGCTGCAGGAGGCAGTGCTTGGTTTGAAGAACTGCTCCCCGACTTCCAACTTGGACCACAACTGCTGCCCTCTAAGAGCCGGCAGAGGAATGCTCAGGCTAGAGATCCACAGAGCGGCAGGCCTGAGGGCAGACACCTTCACAAAAACCGACGCCTTCGTTAAGATCTTCTACAATGGCATGTACGAGGAGACGGAGACAGTGATGGACAACAACGACCCGGTGTGGAACGCGACTTATGACTTTGGATCGGTAGAACTTGGTCAGGCGTTGAGGTTTGAAGTCTGGGATCGAGACGTTCTCTACAATGATGTAGCGGGTAGATGTGTTGTCTTCCCTGAGCGAGGAACTCACTCTCTAAGCTGCCAGCTGAGCAAAGGAGTTCTCTATTTCACCTACACCATCAAATGTGATGCTCACTTGACAGGCTTCAGATGTGGACGATATTCCCCCAATGCTGAGTAATTATTAGATTACAATGCGTTAATGTAGATTTGAGCATTTCCTTCATACAAAAAGGGACACTTTTAATTATCAAATATCTTTCAGTAGCAGCTAGTAAACTGTAATGTCCTATGTTTTTTTAACTGTAATGATTTGTCAACATTTTTAAAGGCAGAACTCCCCCTGATATGAAATGCCACTTCAGTAGGTTTTGGTAGGTTGTTTTCGGAGTCATCGTCTTGTAATATTTCAGTAATAACTTACCAGTCAAAGTTCTTGTGCATCGAATGCACAAACCAAAATAAAGATTGTCGCCTATAGTTGTCTTAAGTCTGACACAATTACATATTCCAATGCATTGATAACCAAAAGGGCTACACACAATCACCATTTCAAGTAGCAGATGCACCATATACAATATACTTTTTTTTGTTGTTCTTTGTAACTCTTCACGTTACATTATTTAAACACACTTTCTCCCCCTCTTTCCATTTGCGGGTTTTCCTGATTAAACAATGTAGGCATGACCACACAACCATTTATTCAATTTTTTTATTAATCACTTTTAAACAGACCTTAGAAACATACAAATTACTTATTAAAGCTTTTACACTCACAATACATTAGCCAATTTGAATACAGTACATGGATGCAGCAGCTGTTTGTTCAAATCCTTTCCTCCTTCACTGAGCTCAAGATATTTAAAAGGAGTAGAAACAGCAGAGAAACCAATTAATGCACCGTTAAAACATTCTATTTCACATTTTTCTAGTTTTAAACTAAAAAAACCTGGAATAATTGCTTACTAAATGCACTGACTACAACCACACAACCATGTTACATCTGTATAAAAATGTAATTCGGTCTTTGCCAAGAAAGGTGAAAACTGGACATATAACAGAGAATTCAATGAATCAGATTCTTGGTTAACTTTCTGATGAAAAACTGCTATCTTGAATATGGTAACACAGCAAATTAATGTAAATGGGAACAATTTATGTATAGTTTTCCAATCTGCTGTTGTGGACCAAATAAGCAAAACACATTTGATGTAAACAACTCTTCTTTTTAGAAGCTGGCAACTAAGAGCGGTAGATTAGGCACAATGCAACACTTTCGGGTAGGAAAAATGTTAAAAAGATCTTTCATCCTACATCTTCTGTACTAGAAGTTCAACATTTCCTCCATCCAAGAGCGCCAGTATGTATCATTTACCCAATCGGCATACACCACCTTGATGCGAGTATAATGATATAAGACTGCATGTGTTCTGGGAACTTAGAAGATGCTTTTGTTCGAGTGCAGTGTACTCCCAACACTTGCTGCATTACTAAAGGTTTGATCTGAAATTCTTAACCCTTTCTTTCAAGTTTTAACAGAGAATCCTTGTGTAACATATGCAAACATTAAGAAGGCAGCATTTTAGTTGTGCCTCTATACTGCTCTCGTATTTAAAGTAGGAACAACTGATGTGTGTGCATGTATAAAAACATGATTTTAGGCACAGCTCATCCATGTAGATTAGATCTTAATATCAGAACTTTTTTCTCTTTAATGGCGGAATATGGTTCTCAGTAGTTTTCCAGTATCGATACAAAAAATGTGTTCCGTCAAAACACTGAAGTCTGCCCAGAATCACAGGGATGCCATCAAAAGTCTATTTGTTCAGGCTCAAGGTTCATCAGTTTGTGTATCACAGTCCCAGTGAGGCTTTGAGCAAAGACGCCATATCTTCTGGTATGGTCCCCTCACCACCTGAAGAAGACACCATTGTTTATATCTTTGTCTTATTTGCATATAATTCAAAAGGTTAGGATAAACGCAAGTCCCCTGATTCACTGTGTGCCCAGAAATATGGCTGAGACACAGATTGGTCACTGCTCTTAAGCTTTTCATGTATTGCCTGCAAATCTACGCCAACGCAAGTAGGCACCTGGAAGTTGCCTTACATCTTTTCTGATCCACATTTTTCATACATAGCTTTACTTTATCTATTCAATGTTTAAATTGTTTCTACATATTGTAATGCAAGTATTATTTCTATATATAAATAAATAGTTATTTCTATATACATAACAGTCATTGTTGTACAGCCTGTAGGACCTGATAGAAGTTATTCCTTTCGTGCTTTTCCTGAACTACTATGAACATATTATCAATCCCAGAAATGTTCTGGAACAGTTACAGTTTAAAGAAATCTGCTCAAACTGTATTTGCACTCAATCATTTCAATCCTGCTATATTTATCAGTTCTTACATTTGGAACTGCCGTTTGTTTTTTGAGTATAACATTCATTTTGATATATCCTTTTTCTTTCCCAACCAGTAATTCTCGGCATCTCTGCAGAGTTTAGGACATTTCTTTATTGTTGGCAAAGCAGTGCTGGAATCCGCTCGTCCTCATTCCTTACCTGCTGTCATTGATTTGTTAAGTCTGTTCTTTTTAGAGTAAGTTTGTGCTATAGCATTGGCCCAAATGGCAAATCATTACTGCTTTTTTGTTGTCATTTGGATTATTTAGGTTACATAATCAAATTAAAATCTAGAAGATGTCTTCATTACTAAGATTATGACCATGCGGTCAATAAAGCATATGTATGTGTAGAAATCTCCTTACCTTCAGCAGCGGTCATGTCCTGTTCCAGCTTCAGTTTCTTCTGGCCCAGCTGCAGCATGATGGCCTCTATGCTGTCCTTGCTGATCAGCTTCGTCACCTGTACAGTCCTGATACCAACAAAGAGCTATATTAGTCATTCAGGAAATCAATAGATGAAGCATTGCTCTGGAAGGAGGAGGTCCTGTGTTTTCAGAGAATACATCAGTCTGAGATTTCATCAGAATCTGCAGAAGTGTTTTCAGTCAAATTGCTGATATAGTAAGTTGGTAACTAGACCTCATTGGATAACACTCCAATAAACAGATAAATAAATCCAATCTTACTTGGTCTGGCCTACACGGTGACATCTGTCCTCTGCCTGTTTGTCATTGTAGGGATTGCAGTCAATGTCATGTAGGATGACAATATTAGCGGATGTGAGGTTGATGCCCAGGCCACCAGCACGTGTTGACAACAGGAACACAAATATGTCAGGATCCGTGTTGTACTCATCAATCAACCCAATCCTGCAGGAAAAAGAAACATTTCAATTAAAGACTGTTTATTATTAACAGCTACAATGAAACATGTGATAGACTTACTGAATCCACTGAAGTCTAACCAATATCTACACATTTGAATAGGATTGCGTTTCATATTTCTACTGTAAAACACTGACCTGTCGGCTATGGGTGTGGATCCATCCAGTCTGACATAACGATGCTTAAGATGTCGCATCAGCACCTCGACAATATCCAGCATCATGGTGAACTGACTGAATAATACCACTCGGTCACCCTGTAAGGTAGTAGAAAAGTGTTGGTACATGATAAGATGTTTACTCTTCAATACATGCATCTGCGCTCTTCCTGCATGCACCGCAGACATGGTTCTGCACATAATTTATTTACCTTGTTTTTATGTGAGGCGAGCAGCTCTGTGAGGTGGTGAAATTTCCCTGAGTCAAGCAGGAGTTCAGTTTCAAGCTGGTAAGAGCCGATGGAGGAGAACTGCTTGCACAGCAGATGTAGCTCAAAGTCTGACATCGCTTCCATGTCCTCCTGGATCAGAACAGCGTTTGCATCGAAGTGAGTTGGCTCCTGTGGGGGGAGGGAAGAGAACGTTTGTTTTAGAAGAGGCAGAAAACAAGGGGTAGGAAAGGAGGGGTCAAAGGACAGATATACAAATGGAAACACAAACAAACAAAGAACATGGAGGCCATACGACCCAGCGGAAAAGACATCCCGGCATTCGGACCCACCTTGAGCATGAGTTTGCTCATTGCTTTGAGCTTTTCTGTGGTGTAGTATTGTCTATGAAGCAGAGGGTGGTTGGCCATTTTCCTCAATTGCATCATCACATTACACAACTCGCGCCCTGCAGAGAAAAGCGCATGAGGACAATTATTAACCATACATTTATTTCTGTTATCTGAGAAAAATACCGTAACACTCGGATGTTCAACAGGTAGCAGTAAAACAGGCTTACTCTCTCCTATAATGGTAGTCTTGAGTTTTTTGAACATGTTCTGGTAGAGAACCTGCTGCTTCTCACTCATTGGGCAGGCCTCGACCTTCTCCACCTTGGCTGGCAGCTGCTTGAGGACCTGAAACAAAAGAAAGTACATTACATATTAACAATACTTACCCAGGGTTTGAACTACAATTACCCTCATGTGACCATCATTTAGCAAATAGAGACGTTCTACAAAATCTATGTTTGCACTTTGGCAAATGCTAAAGTGTGTTTAAGACAATTGATTCTTCCCTAACAGAAGGAATCAACATGTTCATTGGAGTCTACTATTTCAGTTCATAGCTGGATGCAGGGAAAGCATGTTTTGAGACCAAAAGCTGATGACTGAAAAAAAAGAAATTCTGCCAGATTTACCCACATAACAGACTTCTCACATTCATTATATTTACCAGGGTTCTTACACCTTTTCCAAAGTCAAATTCAAGCACTTTTCAAGCATTTTCAAGGTGCATTTTCAAGCTTTTCAAGCATCTTACAGCTGTTGTAAATTACATATTTATATACACATACTTATACTCAAATGATTATTTCCCTACCTCACATTAAATCAGATGTTCTTTATGCTATAAACAACCAAATGTGTGTTTCATAATAGCATTCTACATGAGGATGAAAAATTAAAAATGTTAGAAAAGAAAACTAAGTTTAATATTTCAAAATGAGTGACCCATCTGTACGTAGACTGGGCATCCCATATAACCTGGCTGAGCCAATATAAAACAATCAGCCAAATAACTTTTCAATATATTATTGATTACTATTTTTGAGGTACTTTTAGGTTGGCAGTAAACATAAGTCAGAGGTAAATGGTGTACTTTGACTCCACTACATGTATTTAATACCTTTAGTTACTTTACAGATGTGGATGAATGATGTGAAATATAATCAAGTGTTAAATCAGACTTTAGTTCCACCTGGAGTAAATTCACAAGCTACTCTGTAGTATACAAAGTCATTCAAACTAGCTGCAACTTTACCAGCTTTGATAACACTTTCATGATCAATCATTATAAAACATATCATATACAATTATTAGGGATGCTCCGATCGCCAATTTTGGGGCCGATCGCCAGAATCAGTATCGGCCGATACCGCTTTCTTTTCCTCTCTCCCCCTCTCTCCCCCTCTCTCTCTCTCTCCTGACAGCCCGTCAGTATCTCCTGCAGCTCACTGATCCAGTAATGAGCG